CTATTGGCAGGGTGCGAAGTATATGGTGGGGAGGGCTGGCGCTGACTACCACTTTTACTATACGTGTAAATCTTATGAGAAGAGCATGATTTAACGCTAATGGCGACCACTGGAACTAAATTACTCCGTTTGATTTAACACAGAAAAAGCATGAAAAATGAGGGCAGCACCATCGTGCACCTGGCCAATAATTAACTTTAAATATTGTTAATTTCGAATAGTTTTCATTTCGGATATTTATGACTTTGTATATTTTGTATTTTTGAATGAAAATAATTTGAGTGGAGTTTCTGGCACCCAAATAAAAATTTAAAATTTTCAGTGTAGGAAATTAAAATAATTTCGAAATTTTATAATATACATATTAGAATAAAATTTTTATAAAAATATTTTGAAATTCATAAAAATTTTAAGAATAAACCATAATAATTTATTTTCATAAATTTCATTTTTATAATTATGTTTCAAATAAATTTTTTAATCAAATAAATTAGAGTAATCGAAAAAGAACATGACTACTCACTACTGTGTGATACTACCCGATTTTTTAATTTTTTAAAAAATAAAATTTATGAAAATACATCACCCAGAGCTTACCCTTAAAATAGCTCTGTAAAAAAACAACAAAACAAGTATCAATGAGAGCCTATCCCCGAAAATTGGAATTTATAAAATTATTTCAGAAATAAATAAGTTAAATTTATATTTTTTTAAGAATTGTTAGTTTTTTCATGTTTTCCCACATCAACTCAATTTTTTATTTACTGTTATATGTTTTTTCAATAATTATTAATGAATCCAGACCGTGGACTAAATATTGTTTACACGAATTATTATCTATTTGAATATAGATGAACTTTTTTAATCTATATGGTAACAGAAAAAATTATTTTTTCAACTTTAAAAAATATTTATTTTCATACCTAAGTAGTTTGAGAACAAGCTTTTCAACTTTTATTAATTATAAAATATAACACGCCTTTGATATAAAAATTTATTTCATCATTTTACTTTTAAATAATGAATCAAAATAAGAAAATATTTATTTTATTGTTTTAATTTTAAATATCCAATAAAATAAATTATATAATATTTTGTTTAAAAAAATCTTTTTTTACGAAAATGAGCATTACAAAAAACTTTAATTAGTAACAAAAAAATAAACCTTATTACAATTATCATGAAAAATATATCAAAAGAACTTAATAAATGCTTTTTAAATTATGCAATCAATTTGAAAGACTATACCAAGAATTTATCACTTGCATAAAAAAAATGAACATTGTTTCCTTAAAGTTTACGTAATAATAATATTCAACAATTTTTTATGTAAAATAAAAATGCAATTTTTATTTTACTCGTCATGGATTTTTACGAACGTTGTTTTTAAATTTAATTATTGGGTACAAATATAAAATTATTTCTAATTATCTTTATGTCAAATCAAGAAATCATTATCGAATTCATTCAAAGAAAAAAAATGAATTTACATTAAACAAGGGGGTAGCTTGCTGACGATGCAATTCCACATTGGTTGTTCTTATTACGAGACATCTTAATGTATCCTTTTTCTCCCCATACTTCTGCCCAACTGTTCTTCACTAACCAGTAATCTGTTCCGTTTTCATCAGTACCGTAACCGACAACTAGAACTCCGTGATCTAATTCTTCACTAGAACATTCCTCTTCATCGTAAACACCTGAAAGAGGATATACATTATTATTGGATAACGTGGATAATATAATACAATTGAAATTACATTAACTATCATTATTACCTTCAGAATAAAATTGGAAAGATCGAAGAGAAGCATCAATAGCTACAGAAACAGGACCAATAGTAGCAACTGCTTTTTTCAAACTTTCTTCATCACCTTGAGGGATATCAACGTATCCAACATCTTCAGCACCAGTGTTTCGAGGATTATAACGACACTTATCGTCTTCTGCTTCATAAGGATACGTTTTCTCAGTGTCAATACCTTTGTTATCTTTGATGTATTGGAACGCTTGATCCATTAAACCACCGTTGCAACCATTGTTACCATATTTTCCAGAACAATCAACTAAATTTTGTTCACTCAATGAAGTAAGAACACCAGTCTTTCGGAAATGTTGTCCTTCCAAAGCACCTGTCTGTAAAAAACATTATAAATAATGATAATAATAGTAATGATAATTTTTTATTGTAATAAGAATGAAATTATGCCTTACTGTAGAGAAAGCCCAGCAAGAACCACAATGGCCTTGATCTTTTACTGGTGTAACGGCTCCTTTCTGTCTCCAATCAACAGATTTTGGAAGCTCAACATGTTCTGGTGGAATGAACGTAGCTCCACGGGTAAGACCTCCACTTTGTTGTAAAGAAGATCTTAAATTTCTATCAATTGTTTTGTTGAATCCATTCATCATTCTAATAAAATCATGATGAAGCTGATTTATGAAAAAATTAAAAATAAATTTAATTATTTTTACGTTAATTTTTAAATATTCAATAATTCTATCAAATATCCTTGATAAATACCATATCTCCAAATTTGTTAATAGCAAGTTTGTATGTGACTAAACCCTTTTCATATTTGGCATTATGTTGAGCAATCTTATGTTTATTGTCCATGTAAATTTTCATCCTGAAACCTTCTTCGATATCATTTTCATATTGTTTTTTATGTTGGATCTAAAATAAATTTTAAAAAATTTCTATAAAAAATTATAATGATGAATATAATAATAATAATGAAAAAAATTAATAATAATAATAATATTCTTTAAAAAAACTATAATACTATACCTTGAAAGTATTCCACTCTTCCTTTACAAGATCATAAACTGAAATGGCTTGAATGGTACCAATCAGTACCATGGATATGAGTAATAAAATTTTCATGGCTAAGTATTTTGCAGAAAATTAATTATAAACAAGCTAAATCTGAAATAAAAAAAAAAAAAAAAAAGAAAAAAAAAAAAAAAAAAAAAAACAAATTACTAATTTGGTTTGAATGATGTAATATCATCATAATTTACAGTTACTACCAATAGAAATTATGAAACATCATAATGGTCTAAGTTTCTTTGTTGTTATGCGAATGACGCATTTAACTTTAGATTTATTAAATATATCAAGAAATTGTTTTTTTTTTAAGTTTTTAAAAATTTTTTATTATACTTAATCAATAATAATAAATAACAATACACCAAGTGATAAGAAATTAATTATAAAACCAATTAAAGTTTATTTATGAATCAATAATGAAAAAAACTATAGACACTTTACTGATTAATTCGAAGATCTAACTAAACATTTTTATGAAATAAATTTGTTTAAAAAAAATAATATTTTTTATACCTATTAGAAAGTTTGTTATAAAAAATAATCGTCAAAAAAATTGTCAATACAATTTACCTCAATAATAAAAATGGAAGTATTTAAAATCCCAAATGAATCACCCACAGCAATCAGACCACTACTGAGAGCATCACGACACTGACGCTTTATTTATATGACTTGTAGTGGTGTCTAAGTACTGATATACTTGTCTACTTCGTAGTTACTGCATTCGAACTATATTGTTATAAGTATATATACTATAGCTTAAGTGAAGTATAGGGTGACCTGAACCAGAGAATAAAGAATAAAAGAGTACAGAGTAAATGTGAGATGTTTGCCTCGACGGGCTAAATAGTTAACTCAAATAAACGAATAAACCTTATCTATTTTAAAAAAATCTCAACCACATATTTATACACCAATAAAAAAAAAACAAAATAAAAATACTTCCTGGAACTCTATCTACAGAAAATTAATCACAGCACCGTTTTTGTTATATACATTTACCAAGCTTTTTACTTATAAGTATTCTGTAAAAAAAAACAATTTCATATCGGTGTGCATTGTCCGCTATCATATCACGTGGATATTATGTTTCATTGGCAAATGACTACTCATCGTTAGATGTTTATTAATTACTCATATGACTTATAATCAACATATGTTATCGTCTGTAACCCATATTTCATATCATTAATAAAGTCTTACTAAATTGTAATTTTTATATTTATTAATAAATTAAAATTAAGCAATATCAAAATGAAAATCATTCCGAGGTTTATTATTTATTTTTATTCAACTCAAACACAAACGTTTTAATTGATAAGAAACTGATACTACGTATTTACGCATAGCATTTGATTTATTTTTGTTTTGTGTTTATTATCTGTTAGGAAAGTTCTAAACTACGATGTTTTTATGAAAACAATTTTTATATCGTAGATAAATATAACAGTAAAATGATTTTTTTATTTTTCCAACTTTACGAACGGGATTAAAAATATCTACCGTTAAGAAATTTATGATTTAATGATAAGATGAGATTGAGGACTGTTCTACTGACTTCCCTTATTTGCTTTAAGAAAGTTAATAAGGTTTTGATAATACGAAAAACCCACAGTACAATTTATTCTATGAAATCTAATTATTTACAAAAAACATTTTTAGTGAAAATAGTTTTTTTTTAAAACATTCATCATTTCTTCAATTTTATTTTTACTCCAATTAGCCAAAAAAATCAAATATTCTCATACTATAATTCCTATTTTATTTGTAAAAAATTGAAATGGAACTAAGTCGTCAATAATTCTCAACGATATTTTAGAAACTAAATAATCATTTTTGTTTTGAAAGTATGAAAAAAACAATGTTTGAATGCTTTTAAGGAGAATACTATTTAAAACAGCTAGAAATTATACGAATCTTGTTGAATCATAAAAATTGATTTTGTAAGAATAAATGTTATATCTCACAAGGAAATTTCGACTTATATTTAAACCTATACTAAGTATATGAGTTACTGTTGGTCTCTTAATTTTTCGTATGTTGATAAATTTTTTCGGTTCTCTTAAACAAATGAATTATAAAAATAATATATCAAATAAATGTATACGCGTCTTTTTTTCTAAGTATATTCACTAGGGTGCTTCATTTTTAGGCGATATTTTTTTTTCTCTGTGCTACCTGAAAATCTGATACTTTATAAAAAATAAAAAATTATGCTGCCGAGTAAAAGGCTGTAAGTGCAATAGCGGCTTAGCTCATTTAAAAATTCAATTTTCTATTTAAATAACATGGAAAAAAATTTTTTTTCGGTTTCAACTTGATTTTTCGACGTGAAAAAAAGCGTGTATAGCTTTTATAGAGCATAAAATTTGCTACAAAAAGTTCCTCTGCGTAAATCCCCCCCGACCAACAGCTTTTGAGTTATACAGTTGCGAAGATGAATGTTTATTATATTTCACATCAAATCATTTCTAAATCAAGATTTATTATTTTTACATCAAATAATCTATATATTCCTGTTGCTGCAACAGGATTTTTTCCTGTTGCTGCAACATGGCTGCCTCCTGTTGCAGCTGCAGGAAAATCCTGTTGCTGCAACAGGATTTTTTCCTGTTGCTGCAACATGGCTGCCTCCTGTTGCAGCTGCAGGAAAATCCTGTTGCTGCAACAGGATTTTTTCCTGTTGCTGCAACATGACTTCCTCCTGTTGCAGCAACAATAAATTTTTTTCCGTGCATGAAACTTAGGACATATCTATTAAACTTCAATAAATTCAGTAAAAATTTCTTTACAACAATCGTCTCTTTAGCGACAAAGAAAAAGTCATTGTAATCTTTTCATTACAATTTTACATTTATTTTACTGTCGCAGATCACATAACCGATGAATTCTTTTATTGCGGGGATGCGCGGGATGTAACAGATTAAAATGAGTGCATTTTCCAAGCACTTGAGATGTGGGAAAGAAATTTGGCTACTTATTTCAATAGAATTCATAAAAAACATGTTCACTAATTTTATATAAAAAATTAACGCCACGGAGAAAATTTTAGTTAACGAAAAATTCGTCGCATTTTAAGCTAGGCAGATTTCAATTTCACTTATGAGACCTGCAATTACTTCAATTGAAACTCAATGCTTATTTCAAATTTTTTTCTTCGTGATAATTTTATTTTTCATTTTTGTAAGAAAGCCACGGAAATGTTATAATAATTGCGCATTGAAAGTTACAATCAATATTAGCTAGAAAAATCACATAGATAAAAGGTACAGGCTAATTCGAGGGAATTCGGAATCTGTACAAGTCAAAACAATATCGATCCTTAACTTAAAAGCTGTTGGTCGCGGGGGGGATTTACGCAGAGGAACTTTTTGTAGAAAATTTTATGCTCTACAAAAGCTATACACGCGTTTTTTCGAAAAAAATTTTTTTCACGTCGAAAAATCAAGTTGAAACCGAAAAAAATTTTTTTCCATGTTATTTAAATAGAAAATTGAATTTTTAAATGAGCTAAGCCGCTATTGCACTTACAGCCTTTTACTCGGCAGCATAATTTTTTATTTTTTATAAAGTATCAGATTTTCAGGTAGCACGGAGAAAAAAAAAATATCGCCTAAAAATGAAGCACCTTAATATTCACACGGATAAGTGCTAAATATATTTTATTTATTTAATTTGTTTTCGGTAAACATTTAGTTGTTCAAAAACCGCGAAACTGTCGAATATGTGATATTTTCAGTTTTGTGAGAAATAGATAGTTCTTATCAAAGTAGTATGACTTTTCATTAAATATTTATTTCTTCAAGCTAGCTGGTTAAAGCTATTAACTGTAACGTCATACGTGCGTGAAAATCCCTAATGAATCTATCATAGGAAATAATTTGAAAGTTATTAAAATATCATTGTCACATTAGTTCAAGGACATATATGTATATTCATATGTACGTAAAGAAGTTCTGATAAATCCACGCCACGTGAATGTAAGGCCCTTAAGGTAGTTGTCATGGTACAATATTGTCAAAAAATTAGAGATTATACGCGCCGTAAAAGTATATGAGCTTGTAGCTAAGTAATCCATAATTTTTACACAAGACTGTACCCGTGGAGACGCAACCCACACAATCGTTTCTGTCCGACTCCGTAGATATATACTTTTTCATAAATTGTTGAACTTTAATCCGTTATTTATAAATAATTATATGGATGGTCACAAGTTTTTTTTCGAACTCACAACAAATACATTAAAAGACTGTTAACCACGACAACTACCTTAAATCCACGTTGCGTGAATTGCGTGAATGTAAAGGCTCTTATATTCACGCGGTGTGGATTTATCAGGATTTTCTTACGTGTGAATACACACTTCTTTAGTTCAAACTATCAAAATTTTTGATAAAAAAGAAGAAAATGAATTTTATATCGGTTTCCGTATAAGAATCGTTTAATAACTAGAAACATGAAATTATATAGGTATATGTTGTATTTTTATTTTGTTACTTCATTGTAATTCGTATACAATGACCAAATAAGAAAACAAAGTTGAAAAGCGTCGAAAATATATAGGCCAGGGTGTTAGATGCGGAAATATTATATAGAGAGAGTGTGAAAAAGAAAGATTAAAAAAATGAAACTTTTTTTTTTTTTTTTTTTCTTAATTTGTTTAAAGTCGCATAAACTACTAAGGTCATGAGATGAGCGACTACGGTAGGGGGTAAACTTTTGAGATTGGAACTCATTTTTTATTTCTTGGGCTGAGCAGAATAATACACTTAAATATTGAAAATATTTGTGTTGATGGACACGTTGGATCATGTTTGATTATAAAGAGACAGAATATTTTAAAATACAATCAAGTGTGGAGGCTTTATATCCGACAAAATACTAGAGTTTTAGAAGTATGAAAGGAAATCCGGTGGGGAATAGAAATGCATAGATGCGGCTTGTGAACAAATTTTCTAGTTTGACTTGATGTACTCATGTATGGCCATATCAAAATTTCTGATTCGTCTATATATGGCCTGACATAAATATTATCTAAATCAAGACATATCAAGTCATATAAAAAAAAATTATTTATGCACATATATCAAGCCATATCAAAAAATTTTTTCATAAGTAATAATGACATTGAGAAGGAAATGGGTGTAATAGATCTTATATATATACGTAATCTTATAACGTATATATAAGATCAAACTAAGAAAAAACTAAGAAAAAACTAAAATAGTTGAATTTCATCGATTTTGAAAAATATATATTTCTCATATTTCCAAACAAAAATTTAATTTTAAAATTGCAGCTTAAATAACGAATTTAATGAATTTTTTAACAAAAGTTCTTACAGGCAATTCAAATACACGCCATTATCACTTTGAATTGTGCTAATCGATATTTTCATAAAGATATCGATTGTTAAAGTTTTCAATTGTCAGATGTCGGCTGTTTCACGCTTATTATTTTTTAATGTTACTTCTATATAATAAAATTGTAAATTTTTTATATTATATATTGCGAGAAGGTTAGCAGCGCACCTCTTAAGCCATTTTATTTTTCTTAATATGAAAAGATGCTTCTTTCTTCTCTAAAATTAAAGTTTAATCGAAAATTCGATTTTTATAAATAAAATTTATTATTTATGTTAAAAAATAATTTTCACTTAGAAAGCTCAAAGATCTACTCAAAGGTATATTTTCGGGAGCTTTGAACTTAAAAAAACGTTCTCCGTATTTATTTAAGAAGAAGAAGAAAATAATATATTTTACAATGTTGTATCAATGAAAGATGTCAAGTTCAAATTGAATATTATTGTTCAAATAATTGTAAGTTTGATTAAATTTACCGCGTGTCATGCGCGCTCATAAAATCAATGGGCCGGCTCGACTGTTCAGTGTGGTGGTGTCAAGAAAGGACGTACTTATCGTCACTATTTCTTAGCAAAAAATTATTAATGTCGGGAGTGAAACTAATCTGTTTAAATACCCTAGACATGTAAATACAAGCGACATAATGCCAGCCCGAGAAAACATGGATTTGTGTACAGACAAAGTACTGTCAAAAGGCAGAATACTTCAAGAACTGACAAAAGCTGTCAAGCTGGTAAGTATATATATGTATATAGTAATGTGTTTATTCGTCTGAATGTCGTCAAGGCCGTATATATATATATATATATAAACTCTTACATATATACTCGATTTTAAAAAACTTCAAGAAAGTGAAAGGAAATTATATTGTTCATACATATAGCTTTTTGTTACTTTTTTCGAATTAATCATTTTTAATTTACTGTCAATTTTTTTTTAAGCAGTGAAGTCTCAAGCTTTTTCATTCTCTAACTTTAAATCCCCACCATTTCCTGCAAAAAAGTAATGGAGGGGCTCGTCTGATGCCGTGTATTTTTTTTAACTTGAATTTTAACAATTAAATTTCAGACTCGTCGTAATAGAAGTTGTCGAGACTCCACTGTATTGTTTTTCATCCGTTCACTTTATCAGATGATTTAAGATGTCATTATTATTATTGTTGTTGTATTGATTTAGAATTTTACCATTACTACTTTCCACTTAGCCTAAAATCTATGATAAGTTATGCAATTTTTTCTAAATTTGCATTATCTATTTCAATAGTTAATAACTGTCTTACATTTCATTGTCATTAATTAAGCATACAATCTCAATAAATAGAATACATATTTCTAAACAATTGAAAAATATTCTGTGTGTTGAAATGTGAGTCACTGTATTTTTATGAAAATATTTCTATTACTAATTAACATTACTTATTTTATCATCAATAAAATTTTTTGTTCAGGTTTATGCCCAAAGTTTACATGGTACAGTTGTATTAGATGGTGATTCTTGGCTAGTTTACTGGTTAGACCGTGCTCTACGTCATGGTTTACGAGTTGAAAAACATGGTTATTGGGGTATGGTTCGTGAACTTAGTCATCATGATACAATTGTTGTAATTCACGCTTTACAAAGTGTTTTAACATCTATTGGCAAAGGTATTTTTATTGTTATTATGACAATTATCAGCTTGGTTATCATTTTGAATAATAATTATTGAATATATTATTATATATTTTAAATGTTATGTTTTAGGTCGTGCTTGGCTTTATCACACTCTCAGTGAAAGTATTTTTGAGAGTTATTTAGCATGTTTTCTCCGAGACATAAACATATTAAAGAAACAGTATTTTCCTCACGCTCTTGTTCGTGATACTGATAAAACTCATCAATTAATAAACCTTTTAGCTGGTTTAGAGAATGTATCATTTACTTTGGAGCTGGTAAGTTCATCTTTATTATAATAACTTAGACTAGTCTTATCAAAATATTGTGTAATTTATCAAGTTAATCGATTAATATTTCAATTTTTTTTTTTTTTTTTTATCATATTCTCTACTTTTCATGTAAAATTTTATTTTTGTTAATTAATCTACTCTTCGAATGTTTGATAGGGTAAATGCACCAGTTGTTGACCGGTCACCAATTAGTTGACCGATGTATAAAAAAGTTAATTAATTAATATTTTACAAGGTAAGGGGTTTTTTTTTTCTTAAAGTATTAAAATAAAAAAATATGGCATTTAATCATCATAATAAAGAATTACGCAATTAATTGCGCAGTGATTATAGCTTTAAAAAAATATTCTGAGTTTGTTTACAACGCAACCAGCCATAAAGCGGTCAAAAATAACTAGCGTACAATTGGAGAGTGAGTGCATTTCATCATTAATTTGGTGATATTTATCGGCATAATATAAAATATTTTAGTTTTATTATGTTAATTAAAGATCAGATTCCAACTTTTTTGAAAAAATAAAATTAAATTATAAGTTTTAATATTATTTTAAGACCGGTCAACTATTGGATCCGTCAGAAGCCCTTTACCCAGTAAAAAATTCATTCGGTCATTTATTAGACCCTCTGATTTGATCACAATCCAATTAATGACCGTATATTTATAATACTAACTTCTAAACCTCAAAATTAAATCTGTCAAGTGTTTAAAGTACTTTAGTCATTAAATATTTTGTAAATATAAAAATAATCATTATAAAATGGGTATTTATAATTAAAATAATACTTAAAATCTTTTTTGATTATTAAATTTTATTTTGTTCTAATTTTTTTAGTGAACGGTTATATCAAAGAACGAATTATTAGAAGAAAAAATTGCTAAGCAATTAAAAAAATAAAAAAAAAAGAGTTACAAGCTAGTAAAAAAGCTTTAATTGAAAAATTGAAAGAAGGAGAAAAATAAAAAAATTTCAAGTGAATCAGAAGAATTATCGTCATCAAAATGAATTTGTGATTATTTGTGACCTAAAGAAATGTGACTTTATGTTAATTATTGCTATTATTTATGTTTAGTTTTGTTAAAGATGTCGTTAATACTACAAAAGTAGTACTTTAGTCATTCAATATTTTGTAAATATAAAAATAATCATTATAAAATGTATATTTATAATTAAAATAATACTTAAAATCTTTTTTAATTATTAAATTTTATTTTGTTTTAATTTTTTTAGTGAACGGTTATATCGAAGAACGAATTATTAGAAGAAAAAATTTCTAAGCAATTAAAAAAATAAAAAAGAGTTACTAGCTAGTAAAAAAGCTTTAATTGAAAAAAGGAAGGAGAAGAATAAAAAAATTTCAAGTTAATCAGAAGGATTATCGTCATTAAAATGAATTTGTGATTATTTGTGATCTAAAGAAATGTGACTATATGTTAATTATTGCTATTTTTATATTATTTTATAAAAAAGTACGGTTTAAAATTATATTGTATGTTTAGTTTTGTTGAAGATGTCGTTAATACTTTAAAAGTACTCCATAAATTTAATTACATACATGTAGTTAACAAAATTACTTATAATTATTTGAGCGGTCAATTAATTGGAGAACGGTCGGTCATTTATTGGGTTTCTTCGGTCAATAATTGGTGATTTTAGTATTTCAAGATTCAAATAACAAAATTAATATAATTTTGTTAATTTTTATTATAAATAGTTATTAATTATTATTAATTAAGTATTTAACTTTAATAAAATCCATTACAAATTGTTTGTAGAAGGTTAATAGATTTTTTATAGCTTAGTACAGAAAAAGAAAACCTTAATCGGTCAATAATTGGTGCATTTACCCTATTAGAAATAATACACATTAATTATTAATATTAATTGTATCATAAATATATTCATTGATTTTGAAAAGTTTTTTTTTTATCAAGTTCAAATTTGTTTATCGACTGAATACTATTCATTTAATTCAGTAAAATAAAAGATTGACCTTTGAACTATATTTTTTTTTTCACCTCTATCTATCTTTAAATATGAATGCCAATATCACCCCCCCCCCCTGGTTACATTTATCAGTGTAGTTAGTAAAAATCGTCTATATATACATTTATGTGAAAGTTGGTGCTTTCATGATTTTTAAAACAATGGGTTATCGTTATCCATTATGATTATAATTTTTTATTATAGTAGTGGAAATATTTGGTAAACTTATATAGTATCTTTTAAATATTTTTTTTTTTTAGGATGTAACGTATTTAGATATTTGCAATTACATGCCGCAACGGCCTATGAGTGGTTCACCATCAGGAACAGCTCTATCATTACATTTAAGGTCGTCAAGTGTCACTTCAAGTCTTGCTTCTCCTGGTGACAGTGGTGTTGCTTTGGACAGTGATATAGATATGTCCAATGAAACAGATGCGAGCAGTTATAAAGAAGTAAAATATTCAATTTTATATTTTTTAAAGTCTTTTTTTTCAACACAACTAATCATTTTTTACATCAGTTAAAATTTTTATTTATTTATTATTTGTTTAATTATTTATTGATTTAATGATGCTTAATTTTTGTATAGCTACAGTCACTGTACACTACATATAAAACATTTACGTACTGATGTACAAATAGCTTTTTAACGTCACATTGTGTACTTAAAAGTAAACAATACATTAACAAATAAATCCTTTAGGGATGAATAACATAAAAACTTTGAACTTATATACTATTTGCTATTTTGTTTAAGGAGGACTCATCAATGGACGATGTTCCTAAGTACAGAAATAAGTATAAACCCATAACGTTTAATTGTATCCAGGATAATAAAAACTTAGATCGTTCATTTTCATCAAGTGACTCAAGTGAAGATGGAAAACTACCAGTACATTCTAAATTTAAACATGCAATTGTGACCAATAGCGACATTGTTAATCAAAATATTGTGACAAGTAAACTTGATGACAATAAGATAAACTGTTCTAGTTTAGAAACTCTTACAGATTACCATCTATACAGCAAAAGTTTGAATGCATTACGATTGGATAAAGCAAATAATGCTTATGATAATTCAGCAAAAGATTATCTTAAACGAAATAGCTACTATGGAGATGGTAGTTATAGTTTCAAGAAGAATATAGATTCACGTAATTCATATGTTATAAACAATGATACTAATTTACTGGAACTTAGTATGACAATTTCTGATTGTGACTGTTGTGCTGAAACTCCTTATAGTATCTTAAATACGATTAATATGACAGATACAAGTATTTTATCGTCTTCTGGCATAGAGAGTGTTGTCCATCGGAGACAGCGTAAAAAGAAACGTAGCGAAACTAAGAAGCGTGTAAGTTTTCATGAAGATATTTTTAAAACAATGAAATTGGACGATGATGAAAATTTCTCAGATTTTTCTATGAGTTTTACACCTGTTGATTCTGTGCAAAAAAAAGATGCGCAGAAAGGAAGATATAGTTGGTGTGCTAATGGAGATGCACCTTACGTTCAAAAAAGTATCAATACCAGAAATGCGTACTCAGATTATTATTCATCGTCTTATAATGGTACTTTCAATCGTAATAGTGAATGTAAAATATGCAAAAACTGTAGATGCACATGTGGCCCATCGATACTAGAACGTGGAGTTCCAGAAGGACAAGAGGACCCTGGTAAAAATTTGAAGTCAACGATGGAAATTGAACTAGCTGATAATGAAGCACAAGAAGCTTATTTTGTTGAAAAAGAATATGGATGTATCGTTGAAGATCCAGTAGTAAAATCAGAAATGCCCCAGCTGATGAATACAAAAAAATATAATAATTCCAGCGATTGGTCAGATGTAGATAGCATGTCAACCTCTGCTGATTTTGAGGATAAAAAAAGTTCTAGGCACTTAGCTTCGCCGGTAAAGAAATCGAATATGACTTCAATTCTACCTAGTGATAATGGAAAACTTTTATCTTCATCAACAATTCGACAAGCTTCCTCAAGTACATCATTACTTGGAAGATTTTTAAGATCAATTACTCAACGTAAATTTGAAGTTCAAAAGAACAAGAAAACATCAAAAAATAGTACTTTGTATATTAAGGGTATTAAAGTTGATTTAAACGCTTTTAAAGATTTTAATGACGATCTAGAAAAAGAAGTGCAAGAAAATACTGTAGCGGAAAAACAAGAATTCAGCGGTGAAAAAATAAGTCTAAAACTTAGAGAAATCTTCAAACGTGATATTTACAGAGATAAAACAGAGGAATTATACAAAGTGTATAAAGTTCGAAGTTCATATATGACCAACGGTGATAGTCGACCAATGCTTACATTATTAACTGATAAAACACTCTATTTAACTGGTTTAAAATCTGACAATATCTATAGCAATCAATTTGTCATACCATATAATGAGTTAGATGTGATTATGATTGGACCAAATGCACAAACAATTTTAATATCTAACGCGGACTGTGAGATGCAGTATCTATTTTCTACAGGTTGTTCCAAGACAACTAATGAGATTATAACTCACCTGGAGATAGCTATGAGACGATCACCGTCAAAACCACGGTTACCAGCAGTCAAAGAGCTCAGTTATAAAGATATGCGAAATCTAAAGCACTCAATCATGTCGGAGACAGCTGTAAATCAAGAGGAAAAAATTGAACATTACAGTTTAATTTATATGGAAGATGATCACATATCACCTCCTAGTACTCCTTGTGGTCCAACAAAAGAAGGAGATTTGATGTTTCGACCGCATTCTTATCAATCATTACATCCTAATGCTCCAACACATCCTTGGGAAGCAGGTTATTTTGTTTTAAAAGGTGGAGTCGTCTATGTGTTTACAGATTCTAATCAGAGACTTCCAAAACGTGCTATTCCGTTAAAAGGTGGGCTTTGTCAAGGCTGCAGACGAATTCCTAATTCTCATCGACCTCATACATTTGAAATACTTCTCAAACCAAATAAGTCGTTTCAATTTGCTGCGCCAGATGAATATGTTGCTTCTGAATGGCTACAAAGTTTTGTACAAAGTGCATCTGGATTATTTGATTGTTCAGAGCAAAAGAATCCTTTACCATGTAGTTTGGTTGCAACTACAAAGCATCTAGTAACTATAAAAGAAGTTTTTCCAGGTACTCAAAGAGGTCAGACACTTTCTTGTGCAACTGTTGAAGACTTGACAGCTTTTCGTGTACCCTTGGCCCAGCAATCATGGTGTATTTTGGTAAATATTGATTGTGTCATTTTTTTTTTTTTAATTTTTATTCATGACTTTGATAATTATCGATTTCTACAATATATATATACTTATATAAAAACTTTTTTAATTCTGAAAATGTCGTAAACATTATGACACTGAAGTTAGCAGACGTCTAAGTTTTTTTTTTTTTAATTGTTTAGTTGAAATTTTTTGGATAAAAAAATTTCTAAAAATTTTGAAATGTCAGCTAACTTCATTTTCATTAAACTTTCTATAAATTTTATAAAATTGAAAAAAAATTTTTTAATTTACTTTTCAACGTATACTTTTATTCAGGAATTCGCTTGTCGAGAAGTTCATGAAAGTAGTGGAGACTGGGTAATTTACTTTACTAATTATGCTGAACTGTGTGCTTTTCAAGAAGTCTTAGAAACTTTATGGGCAAATGCGAAAATGGTAAATCAATACATTTATCAATAAAAGCCAATAATTTGAATTTATATAATGATTAATATTCATTATTCTTTACTCAGGGTGAATTTCCGATGGTAACTCTACCACCAGAAAACAAATTACACCGGCGTTGTTCAGATGTTAGCAAGGATCTTGAGTGTGTTTGGCAACATTTATTACCCGTATCACCTAAATAAAATAGCTGAGTCACATAATCACTTATATTACTCTAAATGCAATAACGCTACAAAATAAAGTCTTGTCTGTTTGTTGTTAAACAACCCAAGAATATCTTTATTCCGTAAACAACATATTATCGCAACATTTTTCAAAATAATTATTTAAGATATGCTTGAGTAAAAAACAAAAGTAAAAAAATGAAATAAAAATAGTATTTTATTTGACGATGATTACTATTCAATTTAATTGTGATTATTAACGATCACCCAAATTAAATTGTAATAAGTTAATGATTATGTTAAAAGAACAATGCCTGAACTTTGCAATAGTATGTTTTTATCGAGTACTCTTTTTAAAAAAGGCATTTAATGGAGATTTCTTATTCATTAATATGCAATATTAATTTTATAAATATAACTTGAATATCAGATTACTAAAACTTTATAAAACTCAAATTAAGTAGAGGTTTAAAAAAATGTTAAAGTATTTGAAGAAGGGTTGCTCTTGAAAACCATATATATATATATATATATACAATATAATTCTATTTATTTAATTAATTAAAGCTTTGAAAAATCATATTTGTTAATTTAAAGTGCAAGTAAAGATAATATCTTTGCACAATAATCAATTGATATTGGAAAAATAGTGCAATATAAATATATAGGTATATAAATATATTATTAATTGTATTAGCTTTATTAAATATATTATAAATGTATCGTACATTAATTTATAATAGGGAGATTGTTAAATAACGGAAAATCGTGAACGAGTTCATTATTAATCGTATGGCTGTCTAATATTATTATATAATACAATTGATGTAAGAATGATGTAAGGTATAATATATTCATTCGGTATTCTATAAGTTTATTTATATATAATCTGTAAGAGAGAAGGGGGCACATTGAAAGTTTTTTTTTTTATTTATTAATTATATTACTTCAAATATAGTCAAGTGATGAATAATTTTTAATACTCAACTTATGAATTTAGACTTTTACCTTTCATAATAAACAGTAATAATAATAACTTAATACAAAAAAATTGTATGAACACTAATGAAAATGAAATATGTTTTTTTAGATTGCTTGTGAAAGTTTGGAGTTTCAATGATTGTTCAATTATTTAGTTGAAACAAGACAATTTTAGATCGATACGTTTATTTACCAGAAGGAAATGATTGATTTTTCCTCAAGAGAATAAGAAACACTTTAATTCTTACTCACTGATCAAAGTTAAAATCGTTTTAGTCTAATTAGAATTTCTTTTGTTTATTGTAAACCTAAAAATACCTTACCAAGTTTACAGTTAGAAAATGAGCTATTAGTCTTCAATTAAACCAATTGTATCGTTTTGACTGACTTCAAATTTTAATATAAGTGATATACAATTAATTTATACTATTATTTATGGCCGTCAATAGGTTTTCCATGCTTGGTATTTTGTTTCAATTTGCTTTACCAGTGTACCTTAGATAGATATTAATTTTATGTTGTTATAAATTCATGAAAATGTGATTACTTTTCTCTACTCAAGAGTGAAAAAATGTAAAGATCGAATTCAAGAATTATGAATGGATGATTATTTTAATTTTGAAATAGATACGTTATAAGTTCTTTTAACGCATACAAGATAATAATAGCTTGGGATTTTGCGTAAAAAAAAATGCTTGTTTATAATTCAACATATATCAAAGTACCCCTTCTCTTCTAATATTTATTAAGAAAATCAGTTATTTGTGATCAAACATATACTCGAGAACTTTAGTAAATATTATTTTCTTTATTTTTATTATTATACAACTTTGAGTAACTATTAAAAGTTTTAGTTCACTATCCGATTTTTATTTTGTTAATGTTTTCGTAAGTGTAAATTGATAGCTACAATACTAATCAATTTAGACTATAAAGTCATAATCGTTGTAATGTTTTTTTTATTTTTGTCTAAGTTATAGATTGAAAGAATTTATTTTTGTGATTATAAGCGTAAATAAGAAATAAGTTTGAATGAAATTAAAGTAATTAAACGTAATAATATTTTTTAATTTTGAAATGTTTATTTCTTTACATGATAAATTATTTTTTATTTATTATGATTAATATTTGTTATATTGAATAATTCGTTGAGATTTACATTTTTTTTACAAAAACTTAATTAGACTATTACTTAAAAAGAAAATATTGTACTACTAAAATCGTAATTGATCTATTCAATGAAGTATAGATTAGACATATAAACAATTGTATAATGCAGCTCTCATAAGAATGTGATAGAATTAGGAGTATTAATAATAATAATAATAATAATAATAATAAAGAAAAAAATAATTTACATACATGGTGGCCTCATTTGATGATAAAACTTAAAAAATTTCAAAATTTGGTAACTTATATTCATATACACATACTAAAATTTTTTATTGTAAATTATATAACAAATATATTAATATTTGCTTTAACATCTAATTAATGTTTTGGAACACATGCTCAAAGAGTAGTTCATACAATGTCAGCAGCAAATCTTTTGGTTAAATTTTTAAACGTTAATTAAAAACTTACAATGCATAAACACTGTATAACAATGTTATAGACAAAAGATAACTGCTTAATATTAGCTACTCTCTGTTGAAATTATACGGAATATTTCTTTGAACATTTGTTACAAAAATTACTCACCTTCTCGTATGAATAATTATATTAAATGTATGTAAATTAGGTCATTTGGTCGGCGCTTAGAGTGCAATAAAGTTTACACATGTGTACTATAATTTGTCATACAAGATAATCAAGGAAAATGTCCTTTTGTTTATAATTTTTTAAATATTTCGAGCTCATGTATTTTCGAAATAATTCCTATCTACTACGTGGTTATGTTTTTAATTCATCAAACTAAAATAACCATATAAATTGTACAAGCTAGTCAGGCGATGAAATAAAGTTTAATTTTATCTTTAACACTTGCTTTGATTTTTTTTTACTTATTTATTTTATACAAAATCGTTAGGGTACATGGTGGCTTCTTGAACGACTGTGATGCATAGCTTTTTTGACATTAGCTTTAGGATATGCGGCTTGTAATGCTTCCATATCCACATTCGGGAACCGTTTGAGAACAACCTTTGCTTGATTAGTTTGACGACTGAAAAAAAAATTTGATTAATTAAATAACGTAGCGAATATAAGGTAAATTAGAAGAAGTCGTTTTTTTGAACATTTTGAAAACTTTTATGAGTTGTAAAAAAAAGCTTTCGAAACAATCAGCTAGATAGATATCTCAAAACTACGAAGAACATATCGAGATTCAATCTTATAGTCAAAAGTTATATGTTAAAATAGAATTTTTTTTATAGACTCTTCGTAGGATCGAGATAAATGGTATCATAAAACGATTAACTAAGGATTGATATCCTAGGAGTATAAAAATTTTAAATAAGTACTTGATTTCTCTTCGTTTTTCCAAAAATAATTTCTCACGATATAAACGTCTGAATTTAGTTACTGCATAGCCACCATATGTAGTGATGTGTTTTTCTCTCCATGATTTGTTCATAAAAGCAGGTATAATATGTTCACAATATTTATAACGATATCTTAAACCTGCAAAAGATAAGTAAATTTAAATTGTGAAAAAAATAATCAAAATTATTTAACTTATAAATATTCTCTTACCTAATTGATTGCTCATGTAACGTGATGGTCGTTCACCATGTTCACCAGTTTCAAGTTCATGATACGCTATATTTCTTTCCCGAACAACTTCTTCTAGATTAGACATACTTTCTTCGACTTTATCTCTCCGTTCTGGATTAGGAAAGTATTCATATGCTTCGTTATATGCATGTTCCATAGTTAGAAGCATGTTCTTTTCTTTCAAAAGGACATACCTGTTGCAATTTTCAGAATATTAATAATCTCATAAAAATTAATCGAGAAAACAGCTCTCAGATAAAAAATAAACTTTCTGGCTGCTTAATATTTATGAGTATCGTTTAATTGAAAGAAAATATTATGGTAGAATTGAAAAAATTAACTTTTTTTTTTTTTAAATATAATTAAAGATTTATGGCTAGTTTATTATGAATATTTGGAATTAAGAAAAAAAAATGGTGATTTCATAAGTAAATGGTTGTCGATAAAAACAAGTAAACGATAAATCAAAAGAAGCGAACAATCGTTCTTGACTAATCATTTTAAATATCCTATAATCATTCGAACCGATTGATTTATTTTGAAGATAGATAGAATAGATAGAATACTTTATTTATGCCAAAGTTAGTACCAGATGGCAATTTTTACATATATATACAAGAAGATTACAAGAAATTCTTAATGTATACAAATATAATTAAAAATAAATTTAATATAATTAAAACTAGTTAAATTAAATTTACAAAAGAAGAATAATATAATTTATAAATAACAAGAATATTAAAAAAGAAAAAATACAACAATTTTGATTTTTGATTTTGCGGATATTAAGAAATATGACAGAGATTTATCGATTTAGCTAATAAAAACAATAAACAACAACTATAATTAAATATCCAGGTTAAATAAATGATCAAATATTTTATTTTTAAAGCTCTCTAGACTAGTTGACTCTATTATGGTTGCTGGCAATTCCTCCCACAATCGAATAGCAGTTACAATAAATTGCGATTCATATTGTGTGGTCGAAAAAAAAGGCATTACGAAACTAATATTATTTCTTTTCGCTGCAAGTCTTTCAGATCTTCGCAAATTAGGATCCTCTATGAATAGTTCACGCAAATAACAAGGTTTTCCTATATCTAACAATTTATAAAAATAGCATGACAGATAGTAAATACGACGACTTTTTACAGTGAGCCAGCCCAGTTCACGTCTGTAAGGTGTGATGTGTTCGTCACGCTTTAGATTAAAAATGAATCGGATAGCTGAATTTAAAGACCGTTGAAGTTTCAGGTCGTTATCATAGGTAGAATTTGACAAAACTATAGAGCAATAATCAATTAGGGGCAATATTGTTGCTGAGACTAATAATTTTTTAATATTGGGTGTGTAGATATTTTTGCGTAATTTTAGACTATAAAGTGCAGAGTTTATTTTGCTAACTGTTTTAGAAATATGGAGATTCCAAGATAAGTCAGAAGTTAGATGCAAACCCAGACACTTTGTTGACTCAGTATAGGGGAGAGCAACGCCGTCTATCACAATTTGTGGCAGGCCAGCACGCTGGAGAGAAGCTACTTTACTTTTTGAACCTAATAACATAACTTTCGTTTTATGAAGGTTTAATTCCAAGCCATTTTCTCTCGCCCAATCGGCAACATTCTGGGCATCTCTAGTCATCTGTATTACTGCCTCTTGTAATTGATAGGGATAGAAGTGTAAATATATATATTCGTCATCAGCGAATAGACCATAACTACAATGCATTAACTTTCTTGCTGCCGAATTCATGACTAGGAGGAACAAAATAGGTCCAAGAACTGAGCCTTGAGGCACACCAGACGTAGTATGCAGAAACTCAACTGGTAATCCTTGATCATCTAACACTGATTGGCTTCTATTCGTTAAATACGAATGGAACCAATGAACAGTTTCAATAGAAAAACCTAACTCTACTAAAGTCTTCAGAATAATTTCTGGATTGACATAATCAAAGGCTTTAGTCAGGTCAAAAAAGACTACCAAGGTTAGTTTATGAGCATCGATAGCACGACTGATTTATTTTGAAGACATCGTATAACCAAAACAATTCATGTACAGATACAGGTGATAAAGTCAGACTATTTGAAATTAATAATTTACGGAGTAGAAAAATATAACCTTTAGGTATCATCATTTTAATGTAGATAGTTTAAAAATTCGATGCTCCGTAATCAAAGTTTACATTTTAATTCGTTTTAAGATATTCTACTTTGAAAATCTGTTATTAAGTGAATAAGAAAATATACAGTTCTCTTATCTGATTTTTAATTCGTATACTAAGAAAAAAATACTTCTATTAAGAACATTTTGTTGATACAAGAACATATATTCTTGATAATAATCGATGGTATATTTCTCTGTTTGAAGAATTGATTAAATGCATAAAAATAGATTAAATTTAGTTTAAATAAATCTAGTGATTTGTCCATCTATCATAATTACCACTGATATTGATGTTCTTTTGTCAAGAATTTAATAAATTAAGTAATTCATTTCAATAAATTCTTGAGTCAAGAAATCCTTGTTTCAACGATATTTTTTCTTTTTTTTAATGTAAAGAAGTAAAATTAGAAAAATTAAGAGTTAAAATCATAATGTAAAAGTTTTAGTGTTGGTATTGATTCTTATTAGAGAAGTAAATAAACTTTACCATAACTTATGAAGATCTTCATTACTCTTGAGCCTTAATTCATCTTTATTCCATGAACGACCAACTCTAACACGATCTTGACCCCAATTTTTTTCATTATCAAAAAATTCCATTAAATCATTTCGTTTTGCAGTAGTGTGAAACGCAGCAGTAACACTTTTTACACATGATCTGTGTAAAAATAACATACATTCATAGTAAATTTACAATATTATTTTATAAAAATTATTAACCTTATCCAACTTGATAGCTTACTAGAAAATGACAATTACAGCTGTTAATGAATAGTAAATTTTTACCTGTGTGACACGTTCAATAATGTATTTTTTGTATACGGATTGGCAAAAAATGAGAATTTATTAATTAATTTTTTGATATTTTGAATAGTCGGTGAAATTCTCATGATGTTTTTAAACGTCGCCATTTTTAAAGATAAACACTATTGAAAAACTCATGAGGCTGACCATTTAAAGTATGACACCTGGTGTTAAAAATCTAAAGTATAAATCAAAGTGTTTCCATTTCCAATCATGCTGGAGTTTGCTGGGGAGAGAGAGAAGATAAGTGATAAATTTGAATTGTTGGTGGGAAGTTTGAATTTTTTAGATTTTGAAATTCGAGTTGAAACTTATGAAATAATTATTTTGTAAGAATAAGAAAAATTGAGATAATACTAGTATAATGATAAAAAAAATATGTCGTTAAAAATATATATTAATATGAAAATGAACGTTTTTTTTTTTTTAAATGTGAGATGTAATTATAAGATTAAAATGTTATATTGTTTTGTCAACTGTTTTGTTCGAAAAAATTATATAGTCTACTGTATCATATAATAAAAGATCATAGTATCGATGTTACATGGTAGAGTGTAGTCATCAATATTACTGATAGTAATTTTTTTGAAGAACATGGAAACTTTTCTAATTTTCAATACAGTATTATTTTTAACATTTCATAGTTATTAATTAAATTAGTATACTCAAATTCGTTTTTATTTCTAATCTTAGGAACTTTTGATATAATCGAAACTAATATTTTAGTTAATTGTTGCAGATTTACGATGCCTAAAAGAAAAATTTCTTTATAATTGATAGTTAAAAAAATAGAAAAAAACTATAAGTACTATATCACAATAGAGATTTGATGTTTATAATTTTATAAACCTTTTTCATAGACAGGGAATCATAATTGCGATATTCAAAGTAATAAAACAAAATACTTACTTAATAGAGCATTTTTCTACCATATTTTTTTTAATATATCTTTTTTTTTCTCAACGCCGATTTTTAGTTGTTTTGAATTGCTTTAAACGCTTTCATCGACAACAAAAAAGAACCATTTTTTTTCTTAATTTTATTTCGTGTCAACGGGTGATCAGAAAAATCTAAAAATATACCACAAAGGAATAATCTTAGTGGAGAATAATCTAGTGAGCCTGAGAATTAAGGTGGGGCAAAAAACCCATCTTTTTGGAGGTTCCTATGAAGATATGTTAGTGTATTATGCATTAAGGATAATCCTTAGGAAATGTTTTTTTTTTAATATTTTATTTTTCTGATTACTTTTTGGAGAAATTTTACAACGCTGCCGTAAAAGTTACTTATATATTCTTTTTTTGAAACTTCATTTCATTTAATATTAATTAGAATATATTCTAAAATTTATTTGAGAAGTAAGTAGAAAATTAAAATTTCTGAAATTACATTTACTATGACCTACTCTTAAAAAAGCCTTCTCTAAATTCAACTCGCGATTAAGTATAACTTCCAGGGATCAGTCAATATTCTTAAAAATTTTTTTAATTGTTGTACTTTTTTGGAGTTTACTCCTTAAGAAACGATTTGAGTTATAAGGCCCGGTACGGAAATTTTATTAGGAGTAAAATCAAGTGTAACACGAAAAGTTGAGGCGTTACGTAGAAAGAGACAAACATATATATCTGTAGAATTGAACGTGCAAAAGAATGAGATGGAATACATTACACAGCGTATCTTATTCTCGGGGCCTCCTCTTTGTGCCATGCTTCGTAGTCTCACTGTATTGGCCAGGTGCACGATGGTGCTGCCCTCATTTTTCATGCTTTTCCTATGTTAAATCAAACGGAGTAATTTAGTTCCAGTGGTCGCCATTAGCGTTAAATCATGCTCTTCCCGTAAGATTTACACGTAAAAGTGGTAGTCAGCGCCAGCCCTCTCCACCATATACTTCGCACCCTGCCAATAGTTCACTACCTCTGGTCTGAGAGTCGAATGTGGGCGTATGTTTGTATGTGTGTGTTGCGTGCCTGCGTATTACGAAGTTCTGCCGCAACTTGAGCCAAAAAAAAGGTTTAGTTTTTTGCAAATATTTGAAAAACTAATAAAGATTTAAAAATTTTTTAAAAAGATTAAAAAAGAGGAGGAAATTTCCTAAAAAAAAGTCCCAACTCCCGGAACTGTAGGACCAATATTAATAATTTTCCCAGAGGGATGAAAATACAGCCGAAAATGGGTGCTCTGGCTTGCGTAAGCCATGTCTACTTTGAACACTTAATTAATAAAAATTATTTTAACATATTAAATATAAAATTTAAGAAATATAAAAAAATCGGGGGCTTACTGGATAGATAAATGAACAATAATCCGCCTGAAAAAAATTTTTATCACAATTTTTCAATTAGTTATGTTCAATAGTTAATTAATAATTTTTATCTGCTTGAACATGTACATTGCAAGTGTGATAATTTTTAAACTATAAATTTGGGTTTTTTTTTCTCTCTTGGAGCAATTCTTGAAAGGCTCCAGAATAGATCCTTTTGTTGGAAAAATCGAAAAATTTTTATTTTTTAGTTTTTTATTAATAATTTTCGTTGTTGCAAAATTAAAAACTCAAATTAATCATCGAAAAAATTTATTTTTTCAAAATATTATTAATGATCCATTTTTATGTTATCAAAAGCTGCATAAAAACAATTTTTAAAAATTTTTAACTCTTATTGTGTAAAAAATTGTTATAAACAAATGCGTTGTTTATAAAATAATTGAAAATTTTTTTACGGAATTTCAATCTTTGATACAAATAATGATTTTTAAAAGAAAAATTGTTACTTAAACAAATTTTTGGAGTTTATTAGAGTTTACACACAGTTTTTTTATTTATATCTGTCGATATTAAATTGCGATTCGAAAATATTAACAAATTAATAGAGTTAGCTATTTTGACAAATTAATTGTATAATCAATGTAAATAAATGTATCATGTATGCTTCGAGTAATATAATGGCTAATTTCATTTAACATTATTTACCAATCTATGTATACGATATAATCGTTCGTAAGGAGTAAACTCCAGTCGTGCGTCGGAGCTGACACACACCATTTTTTTTCTTTTAATCTTTATCCTAATTATTTGATCATTTTCTATGCTATAAATTATATGTAATCTGAAAAGAGTGTGTTTCTGGAGTTTTTCATATTGCTTTTTTATTTATAAGCAAACTTCATTATAAAAATGATTCATTTACTTTTATTTATATATAATTTATTTTCATAAAAATTGCACAAAAACGTATAGAGTATAAATACAATTTGTAAAACAAATCAATTACATTTATTTATTCTTCTTAATTAATAACTTTTCAAGTGTGTTTTTGGAAAAGATTAGTCCATGATTACACGACAAAGTATACATTGCTTACGAGTATTATTAATATGCATAGAAACATAATTAAAAAGGCACCATTGATGTTAGATGAATTCAAAATTAAGTAAAAGTTATGTTGTTTTATGTTCTATATACACACGGTGAAAACTATATTATAGAATATCTGATCAACAAGACACAATACAAGTTATTCTTAATATTTATGATTTATAACATACACAGTATATTAATTAAAGCATTAAAATCAAATTTAAAATTTGGTTAAAAAATTTTTATCAACTTTCGAATTAACAATAGTAATGTCTTTTGCCGTTATTAAGAAAAAAAGATTTTTTTAATTGATTAAAAATAATTTGAAAGAATTCAAAATGATTTGAATATATAGGCTACTATATAGATATATACTTTCCATGGATTGAATCATTTAAAATTATTTTTCTTAACAATGGTCAATTTTCAATCTCAAAATTTAAAAACGGTTTATACCACGCAAAAGGTCTACATGTAATTCGACCCGCCAGATTATTTGACAAATCTTAAAAACAATTTACTCCAATTTTTTTCAAATTATTATAAAATTTATAGACTTTTATCACTTTTTCTTTTGCATAATATCAATTGTGCATGATGAACATTGAAATAAACTAAAAATTTATTAAAAAAATGTTTTTTAACTTTTCAGTGTTCTAAGCAACACTTAAAAAAGTTTTTTTTTTTTTAATATTTAACCTTAAGAACTAAAAATTTATCGTCAAAAATCTTAATTTTCTAACATCCAGATATATGAAAAAGTTTTACGTATTACTGTTATACGCCTCATTCACCCGTGAAATATTTCCATTATTGTAAGTGAATAACAAAAAAAGAAGTAAAAATTTTTTCATCGTTAATAATGAAGAGAAGTTTTTATTTAAAAATTAAATTCAGTATTTTTCTTTTATCGTTGAGAAATAGTGTTCTATTCTATGTTTTAATGTATGTATATTAAAACTTTTCGATACATAGAGAAGCAATTTTTTATAAGTTTTAATTTTTAATTAAGTTTGAAAAAAAAAAATTACCAGTAACATTTTCATAATACATATAATAAAGTATAAAATATAATTTAAAATATAAAAATTAACATCAACGATTCAACCCTTTTTGTTAATAAGATATACGTACGATTAATCTTATTTTATGCTCTAAAATTTTCATTTTAAAGTGTGCTTTTTTACATTTTTTCAGTATTAAGAGATTGTAAAAAACTGTTGAATCCCAATTTTTCAATAATAACAATCATATGAGAATTAAAAAGTCTTTAATCAGGCCAAAAAAATAAATAAGTGCATTAATTCAAACTTTAATTAAATAGTTTAGAGTTAAACTTCAAAATCTTACATTGCTAGAAATTGCCACATGTTCCACAAAAACCCCAATAATATACATTTATCACCGTGTTTTAAATTTTTAGATTTTTAATGTTTTCCATAAGTTAATAGTATGTTGGACACCATGATGGACGAAAGAAAATCTCCATCTGTGTGTGTACTACACTCGCCTTTGGCTAATGAGGCAATTTCACATGCGAGTAGAAATTCCCTCTTGTCCTATATAGACACATAAATTCCTTAAAACTTCAAAAATTGTGACGTTAAAGACATAATATATATCGTTATATAAATTAATTATTAATAATTTCAAATGTACTCTAAATTTTTAAATTAAATTCACTAATTTCTGAATATAAGCTGAACTCGACCGAGACTATACAAACATTGTTTATGCAAACTATTGTTACTAGCTCATGTAAATAAGTATAATAGACACATGAAAATTGGTTCCCTCGGTTGGTGACTTGTTTTCACCAAACTTCACACTTGTGAATTATAATTATTTGTACTAGCTAGTAAAAATATTGTTTTTTTTGTAATCTGAATACAATTTTTATGGATTGCGATATGATTCATCTTATCTTCACATTTGTAAAAAATTTTTAACAATGATAAAATATATCACATCGTACACAATAAATTATTCATTTAATATCATAATTTTTTTTTACAACAATTTGTAATGATCTTACTGCTAAGGCACTTATGATTTAAATATATATATATTCCTGTTTTATTTAAGCTGAAATTTTTTACGGCTTGATTTTTATAAAAATTTTATGTATATGTATTTTGTTCGAAAAAATTGAACTTTGTATAATTTTGTAAAATATCAGAAATATTTATAGAAAAGTATAAATATTTCATATAAATTAATTCCTTTCAAAAATACTTTGTTACATATTATATATAATAATGTATATTTGTTCTTATATAAATATAGTAAAAAATTTTTAAATACGTATCAACATTTAAAATCATTGAATAAATCCAATGTCATTTAAAATTGTACCATAACGATGTTATATCATGTAATATATAAAAATGTACAAATTTCGATTATTTTGCGACCAATAATAATACGATCGATGTAAATATTAAAAAAAAAATAAAAATAAAAAAATAGTTGAACACTAAAGAAAAGCAGGTGAATTAACACGAATCATTTTAAATTCCGTAGATAGTGTAGATCACATCATCTTGAAGATATGCTCTTAAAGTTGAATATCAATTACTGTGATGCTTAAATATATTTCATCACATGTGAATAGTTGCTGCTGTATAACGTGCTTCACCTCTCCGCCAGCTCCATTGACTTGGACGATACTACAGAAAAAAAAAAAAAAAAAAAAATAATTAAAAGAGTTAATGGAAAGATATAAGCAATAAATTTGTAGATAATTTACTCGAATTAAAATTTGTCCTGATGCACTATGAGGATTGCGATAGGCATAAACAGCCCAACCAGCCAAACCTGAGATCAAGGAAACAACTAGAAGAATACTAATGATTCCAGAAACACTCATATGACTTATATTTACATGGCTGTGAGCTGAAAAAAAGAAAACAATTTATTCATTGAATTTAATTGAAATTAATTGCTCTACAAATAGTTAAAAATAAAATTATTACATTGTTCAGCAATATTGGGTTCATTAGCCAAACGATTTGGTTGAACATCCGCTGATAATTCTCCTTCAGAAATAATGTGGGCAGTATCATGATTATCATTACTTCGTATTAATGTTTTGGGACTTGCTGGACAACTGCTCTCTTCTTTAATACTTTTCTCATCACATCCTTTTTCCAACCAACCTTGTCGGTGTCGGAATGTACCGGTACTACATTGATTTAATTCTTCACACCATTTACAGGAAAACTCTGGTACTTTAGTGAGACAATCTGTGCAATTTTTCATTTCTAGACAAGTTGGTAAAGCACGAAGATAAATCACAGTCCAATTTGTAATATTCTGATGATTGAAATGGACACGATGGTACTCATAAATCGTCTTCTTACGAACAACTAGATAAATAAAAGATAACAACTATGCAATAAAGATATAAAATACTTAAACATATATTGCATTATATAAATAAGGAAATCTTATAGCGAGCGATAGTGAAAAAATGAAAATATGAGGAAGAGTAATAGTGAAAAGAATAAAGAAATAATACTGAAAGATGAAGAGTAAAATAAAAATAAGAGAAAATATGTAAGAGAAATTTTAGACCGGAAAAGAAAACAAATAGGGTTTTTCGCTGAGTTAAACTTTGTTTATGATTTTAATGGCAGACTTGAATGAACAGTTAAATAGAGGACAGACAGGATAGGTGATAATAGGAAAAGAAATGTTCTTGAGCCTTGATTATACAGATGATATTCTGTTGTTAACAGTCAGTAAAAGAAAAATTAAAAGATTCGATCGAAGAATTAAAGACGGATAAAAGAAAAGAAGAAGTGCTGCAAGAGCTACATGGTCAAAAAAAAGGATACAAAAAAAAAGAATGTGGAATGGTTGAAAAAGTGAAATTCAAAAATTAAAAGAGATAGGATGAAAGTAAAAAAGGGTCAGTGACCAGCATCTAACCGAAAGAGAGAGCTAACGAAAAATAATATGCTCAAAGAAAAAATGACAGGAGTTTTGTATTCAAACTTTAGTTATTAATATATAGTGGAAATTATTTTAGTAGCTGAGATAAAATGTTGAAATTATTATAGAACAGGCACAAGAAAGTTAACAAATGATTTGAGGAATATAGAATTTTAAGTTTAAAGTATATATAATTTAAAAGTAGAAACTCGAATAAAAACTCAAGCTGAAATTCATTTTAAAGTGTTTTGTTGGAAATTATAATTCCAAGTAATATCATGTAACAGCTAATTTACGTTTCTTAATTAATTTAACTGTAATAAAAATCTACAAAATAATAAACGTATATTATATAAATAATATATGTAATAAAGATAATTAACATTCAAAAAATTGATTGATATTGGATTTAAGAACTATGACCATTATCGTTAGGCATTTAATATATTTTCCAGAAAAAAAAATACATACATAATTAATATTTCTCTAATCTAAAAATCTGGAAAACGGTTGACCCTGCAGGCTATCCCTGGAACTTCTCGCTTTGTACAAAACGCTCGAGAAATTATCTATTCCGAAGTTTTGAGCTCTTTGAGCTCAAGAACACAACTTTTATTCTTTTTCGAGCTCGAAATTCTATAAAATTCTCGTGGTTGTTGAGAACATACTTTATTGAAAATTTTTAACTACAATATCTTCTGAATGAATCAATCGTTTTTTATGGAACTTACAACAGATATCAACGCAGTTTCTCAAGCAACAAAATATTATTTATTACCTACCAAACGATTCGACATAAAATTTGAAAGATGCGTAAAAAAAAAAACACTTTTTTAGAATTTTTTAAAATCAAATATCTCTCAAATAAATCGATCGATTTTGATAGAGTTTGCAGCAATTAAAGCAGTTTTTCAAGCACGAAAAGATTATTTCTTGCTTACTAAACGATCCGAGAAGAAATTTTGAAGTTATTCCAAAAAAACCATATTAGAAAAAATTTTTTTTCGTAGTTTTTTTGTGATTTCTCAAAATCTACCGATCCGAATCGATCCAAATTGTATTATAAATCTAAGTTTGGTCAAGCCCTTTCGTATGGCGCTCAATATATACACTGAAAGAAGAATTTGTTTATAGTTAAAAATATTTGTTATTATTTAACAAATCATTTATTAGAGACCACTTTTTAGTTCTTAACAAATATTTCTTAGTATTTAAAAAGATTTATTAATATTTAATAAAGGAATATCAGATTTATTAAATACAAACAAATTATTTTAAATACTAAGAAATATTTATTTAATACTAAAAAGTGGTCTCTAATAAATGATTTGTTAACTATTAACAAATATTTTTTGACACAAATAAATCCTTCTATCAGTGTACATACATACATACATTCATCCATACATACATATATACAATCGCGTGCATTAATTCGGGTAGGTTTCTATGTTTACAGTTTTTTCGCTACTTTTAAATTTGGCTGTTTCTAAACTCTAAACTTTGTTGAAATCTGTAAATTTAGCCGTTTGTAAATTTAGCGAAACTAAACGAAATTTTATCACTAAAATGAAAAAAATATAAATAATTTCAAAGATAATTTATGCCTACAATAAAATTTGACAAAAGAAAAAACGTCCATGTAAAAAAAAAATTACTATATAAAGCCGCTTGTAATATCAGCAAGCTAAAAACTTGGAATTATTAAAAATAACGCTAGTTTTAAAAGAGCCGAATTAAAAAAAAATAATTATTAAAATTCTTTCAAATTAAAATGCAAACAGTTGAAAAAAAGAAATATTTAAAAAAATGAAACGAAAAAATTGTAGAATAATAAATTTAGCCGATTGAAAACCTCGCCACGTGAATTTACCGATTCTAAACTTGAGAATTAATAAAATTAGCCGATTCTAAACTTGGAAATTAATAAAATTAGCCGTTTGTATAAACCTCAGGATTCTAAAAACTAGCCATTTCTAAACCTTGTGATCATAAAAATTATCATTTATAAACCTCATAATATATTAAATAAGCCTATTATTATTAATATTATTATCATATTCTTTTTGCCGAGTAGAGGTCAGCTAAGAAACTAATTTTACGAAACTTCTCCCGCAAGAAGGATTGCGGGGGCGTTAATAAAAAAAATTAAACTTTTCAATTACAGCTCCAACAGAATTAAAATTTGGCGAAATTATTACCGTTTGTCATCTTAAACCTAACTAAGTATGGATTTAATGAAATACCATCCACAGAGGGCAGTGAAGGGGCATTGAAAGTTAAAAAAATTAAAATTTTTTTCTATAGCTGCTATAAGATTGAAATTCAGCGAAATTATTACTTAAATGTTTTAGAATTTTCAACGCCCCCGCTCTGCCCTCTGTGGATGGAATTTCGTAAAATCCATTCTCAGTAAATTTCAAGATGACAAAAAAAATAATTCTGCCAATTTAAAATTCCTGTAAAATGCATCTGAAAGCTGAGAAATCAAGCTTCAGATCATTTTTAAGAAATTTTACTTTTGCAGTCATTTTTTCTACAGAAATGAAATAAAATGAAATCTACTTCCATTTCGAATGCCGAATGGCCTTTCTCTTAAATAAAGTTTATTTTCTCAAGAATCAATTGGGGTCGTTCCGATTAAAGTGATGAGATTACACGGGTCAATTTAATCAATTGTTTTTCAATTAGCAATCGGAGTATTTATTAAATGCAACTAACCAATAACTCTTTCTACGGCTATTAAGACAATAAAATATGTTATGTTAATTCGAAAAGCACCCAATTGAGCACGTTGCAATTGTAAAGTTCTTAAAGTTGTCTGGTATAAGCTTTTCTGACACAGCCTTACATATAATTTTATTTTTTATTTTTAAAAATAAAATTGATAATTACCGGGATGACCTGCCTAATTACCGTGGTCACCTGACCGTTGGGTCACCCCGGTCAAACTCATTATTTTGTTTCTAAAATGATTTTATTTGGCTTTATCTTTAGATTTTTGATTTAATGAATTCAGTTCTCCAGATTTTACATGACAAGATAATTTGATTTCCGTTATTCAGTAGAAATAATTCAAGGTTTATTTCGTAGGTAATCGGGGTACGACTCCATGTTCTCCGAATCGATCAATTTTTTAATTCTTTAAGATATAATTTCGACATTTTGGAGTATTTTATGAGCATGATTAAGTAAGCATAATTTTAAAATTTGTACTAAATAAATATATCTTTTACTCACAAAAACGTGTTCTATCCATAATATAGGCATCGCTTAGTCCAACTTTAACTGGATGAGCCTTATCTTCGATCTCTTCAACTGATAGCGGCATTTTTTTGTAAACAAAAGCAATGTTTCCATTTTGAAAAAGTGTAACTTGGAATGTGAATTCACCAGCTTTTGGTTTATCCTGTAGTACAACTTTTGTCCATTCAACAGTAAATGCCGTACCTGTTATAAAATAAGTTTTATGAAATGAGTAGAAAACTAATAATGATTATAAAGAATTTTGAATAATTATTAGAACCTAAATAACATGATATTTATATTCACATCTTGAATGGTGAATAATAATATAAATGGGGAATACTTCATGACGAATTTCTATCGCAAATTTTAAGACGTTTTAAGACCAAAATGAGGGTATTGTTAAAAAATTTGAAATTTTGTATATCTATTAATAAATACGAAGTACATCTTCTGATTAGAAATTATGATTGTAAATGTGAGCATTTGTATACTTGATAATTCTTGAGTATTCATGTATATTAGAACAGAAATTTTAGAGTTGATGATAGTATAGAAGTATAATAATTTTAAACGTTTGAAAATGTTTTGATGTTTAAACAACGGGTGCATTCCGAAAATGTACTATGAGCAGCTATTTCACAGCGCGGCACTGTAGAGCAGTAACATATTCGTACAATATAAAGTTCAACAGTAAGTAGCGTTTTTGTGAGCGAGTTTTAAAAATCCCAAAAAATTAAATTTCATGATTTTTCCTTTTAAAAAATCCTAAAAATGAAATTTTGGTTTTTGATCAACTATTTGAAAAAGATGCATTAATTCTCCAACATTGTTATATTTGTTTGCAAAAAAAATTCTGAATATATCTTTATTTTTTGATTTTTTCAAACGAAAAAAGGATTTTTAGTCATTTCTGAAATCTAGAAAAAATGTTTGAATTAAAGAGAAAATCTTCTTTAATGTTTTTCAAAATTTTGATTAATCAGTCCGGAAAAATTTTTCAATGGAACGATCTTAATTTCACAGAGCTATTGACGGCACATTGAGATGTACAAATTTTCATAACCATATGTTGTTCCATAGAAATGAGCAAAGATATAGTCAATTTACCAAAAAATGGGAAAAAATTACTCTTTTCCATACTTTTCTAATTGATATTGATATTAAATTTTTGTTTTCTCTCAAAGATGTTGAAAAGTGCTTTGTAGGAAATTTATTTCAGTTTATGAAACTGCTCACAAAATGTCTGTACAACGATTAGTTTTTAAGAAATCCTTAGTTCAAGACAAAAAGATCCTTTTTCATTCAAAATCGGATATCTCCGTGAGAAATTGACGTAGAGAAACCGCTAAAAGTCAAATCACTGAAAAAAAAAACCGGCTATCATATCGTGGTTTAGCTGGGAAAAATTTTTTTTAATAGGGGATAAGGGAAAACAGCCTAGCATTGATAAGATTTTTTAATCAATTATGAAATTAAAGAGTGATTAATATTAGGGCTGTGCGAATCTTGCTCCAATCGAATCGAACCGAATCTAAGGATTCGATTCGAGATTCGAGTCGAATATCGAATTATTCGAAAAGTTCGAATTATTCGAAAGATTCGAATAGTTCGAAAGATTCGAATAGTTCGAAAGGTTCGAATAATTCGAAACTTTTTCGAACCTTCGTTAAATCGAAACACCATCGTGTTAGACACTTAGTTTTAACCTTCATTTAGTGATTTCATGTCAAATCAAGCAATGATTAGGCTTAATTACTTTTTCGATTAATTTCATCCATGCGTTTTCTCTTTTCATAATTTTCTTATCGTAAATGTTAATTTTCACGGTCATCAGTTTCAGGAGCAAAATATCAACATGGAAAAATTTTTTCGATTGTTTATGCACATGTAAAAATTTATCGATTTTATATGCCGAAAAAATCGGTTGATCGCAAAAATAACCAATTATTTTTAACTTTATTCTAAGAAAATTAATGTTTTTCGAAAATTCGGGAAATTATTGGTTTTACCCCGTTTTGCAAAAATCGAGGTTTCAAAACAGATCTCGACGTTTTGAAGCCCTAAGAAGCTTTACTGACTATTTTCACGATGATGTCCGTACGTCTGTATGTATGTATGTATTAGGATGGCCCAAAAAAACCGACTATTTTTTTTTTTTAGTCTCGAGTGAAAAAATGTGGGTTTTTGATGTTTTAAGAGCCCTCACCAAAGGACAGCTCAAAAAAAAAATTTTTAAGAGGTCACTCCAAACTTTTTAAAATTTCAAAAATCATCAAAAATCGAAATTTTTTTTTTTTATTTCATTTTCTCGTTGCAATATAATTTTATAGACCAAAAAAAATAAGTTTCTGAAAGTTTTACTTTAAAATTTAAATTTTGAAAGGTCGCTCATAATTTTTTTTTTTCTTTAATTAGTCATATCGCCGACTTTAACTGTTGGGAGTCGTACGGTAGGGTCTTTTTGGTTTGTAAAAATCTTAACCTACGCGGCAAGGTCAAATCTCAACCAAGCTGGTTTCTAAGACCAGCTTGGGATTCGAACCCACACCTGGCAGTCTATTAAATAAAATTATTAAATTAAAAAAAAAAATATATTTTCTATGTTGTGCTTGATTTCTAGTTCATCTCGTGATGTATTTTTATCGATTATTGTACTAAATGAAAGAAAAAAAATATATGGAATTTTAATTTAAATGGTAAAAGGTCACTCGAAAAAATCTAAACTAATGCACTAATAAATTGAAAAAAATTATGAACGACCTTTCAAAATTCAAATTTTGAACTGAAATTTTCAGAATCTCATTTTTTTTTAGTTTATAAAATTATACCGTAACGAGAAAAAAAAAAATATTCGATTTTTGACGATTTTTGTAATTTTAAAAAATTTGGAGTGACCTTTTAAAACAAAAATAACGATTTTTTGAAGTAATCTTAGATCAAAATGTACCTCCGTTATCATATAAGAATCAAATTGCGCAAGATAAATAACTATCAATAAATTTGAAAATCCTCGATAAATCAGAAGATTGACGTTTTACCTGGGTTTTGAGAAAGAATTTTATCGACATTAAATATTTTAATTTGCTACGACTTTGTAATACAGTCGAATCGCGTAATGAGTCCGGCTTGTTTTCTTTGTTTTTTAACCAGACTCGCGTCAATAAGAGAGAGACACAAGGAGGGCTCATAACGCGACTCGACTGAGTGAGTAAAAGAAGTCAAATCATTGCTTGATTTGATTCAAAATGACTGAAATTTATTGAATCAAGATAGCTAGTTGTATTAGAGCTTATACTATAAACACTAAAAAGCTATTAGCTCATGTTTAAAGTGTAACTTGAGTGTCTAACATCACGTCTCTTCGATTTAATAAAGATTCGAAAAAGTTTCGAATTATTCGAATCTTTCGAATTTCTCGAACTATTCGAATAATTCGAATATTCGTATCGAATCTCGAATCGAATAGTTCGATTCGATTCGCTTCGAGTAATTCGAAATTTCGAATATTCGCACACCCCTAATTAATATGTAAATTTTTAACTATTATTTCACTTACCATTGTCTGCGTATTTAACAAAACTCTCATTTGAAAGACGGGTATCAAAATTCGCCATCAGTGGAGCAATATATTGAGTAGCAGCAAGCCAGCTATGAACATATTCTCCTGTATACAAGAATCCACCCGTAGCTATTGTGATATTTCGAACTTTGTGGCCATAAAATAGGAACTCGAATTTCAATTTAACAGTCTGCAAAAGTTGTCATTTATGCAACTGATAAGATAAGAAAACATTTCATTAATCTTTTTGCAACAAATATACTCACTGCAGCTCTCCTATGACTTTGACTTAAAAGATCATTAACTTTTCGATCAGGATGATTATCCATATCAACCCAGTAAGACTTAGCTACAGTTTCATCAATGAGAAACGTACTATTGTAATACTGATGAGTATCTTCTTCTTGTTTCGTGATGTTATTCTGAGTTAAAGTATTGTTTGAAAAATTAGTGAACTTTGATATTGATATATCATCAATATCTGATGAATTAGATGAAGTGTCAGTTGAATTCATTAAATCAACTCTATTGAATTTGTTATCCATTTTTGAATTGACATTATCTCGAGTCGCATTAGGCCATCGTGTTTGGTTAGCCCAAACATTAATATTTGTTGGCTATAAAGTTAAAACGATCTAAATTAATATTCTACTTTGTTACACTGTCAATAAATAGTTATAAAACTTACAGGTGGTTCAGTAACTGGGACAATAGGTTGAGATACAATAATAGAAGAGTTTTTTCCATTTTTTGTGATATTTGGTTTTAATGTAGTACTTGTGACTGTTGATTCAGCCGTTGAATTCGTTATATTTTCTGTTGAGTAAGTTACGTTAGCCGTTGATTCTATTTCTGTTTTTATAATTGGAGATTCTTGTCCTAAGTCATGTGATGTTGATAAGGCTGAAATACTTGTGGTTGAAGCTGTTGATGGTAATAACTCTGGCCCTCCTAATGATCGTTTTAAGCGATTTAAGTTTGTTACTTCATCTAACTTATTTGAATGAAAAACAATTTCGTTCTCAAGTCCCGTTGAAGATTTATAATAATAATAAGGAAGTTCTAGGAAAAAAAAAAAAAAAAAAACATTAAAAATTATTTAAGATTGTCAGTTATAATTTGACAGTGTTTTCGATTAAAAATACTCAGTAATTAGAAAAAGTATCTTTATTGTATCTTTATTGGAAAATTAAAACTCGCACATCTTAAGTATATACACTGAAAGAAATTTTCTCTAGAAATTAATGTTAAATCCACAGTAATCGTAGGACAGATGGCACGACCTAATCATTTGTCGGTGAGTGAGATAATTTTGAACTTTCCGCTAAGAAAATTGAAAATTTTCGAATATCGGAAAGTTATTGGTTTTACCCCGCTTTTTGAAAATCGAATTTTCATCGGATCTCAACGTTTTGAGGTCCGAGGAACGCAGTTTGCAGCATTTTAAACGGATCCACTAAACTTAGATTTTTTGAAAATTTCAACTAATTTGATCTGATAGATTTCGAGAAATCTCAGAAATAAAATTTTCAAAAAAATGTTGATATGGAATAACTTTTAAACGACGATTTTTTCTATAATCTGATCAGTTCTTAAGCCTAAAAAACAACGTAGATTGCCGAAAACCGCATCAAAATCGATTGAATCGTTTCGAAATATCGCAGTCCAAAATTTTTAAAAAAGTGCTCTACTAATTTATTTATTTACAACACTGAACCCAACAGCAGAGCCATTAACAGGGTTCCTTAATTATAATCATTATCATAGTATAGAACAGTAAGAAATACAATACTTTATGAGGAATACTTCGTTAGACTTTCTATTTGAAAATAGACTTAATTAGATTAATGCAACTACTTCTAGATTTTCGAGCTCAAAAATGTCTAAAGCTTGTAGTTGTGAGCTCTAAGAGCTTAAAACTTCACAATACGAAATTTTTCGAGCGTTTCAATCTTGTAAACATCGTAAAGTTCCACGTATGGTCGATATAGGGTAAACTGATTTTTAGAACTTTTAGTATGTGGTAATTTAGGACAATTATTTTATTCAATATTTGACATAATGTATATTATAAGTAAAGTAGTAAAAATCAAAATTTTTTTACGCTAAAATGTATTATCATTATTTTTATAGTAAACAGTTTTAAGATCAGCACATTTATTAAATAAATCAATTGACACTCACATCTTCATAAAAAGCATGAACTGAAGATCAAACTCGAAATTCGTCAACTATGGAGAGAAATTTGTTTTGCAAATAAAAATTAATCAGAACGATGAGTGTTAGTTATTACTGCCACATTACTTTACCAACAGGATAGTTAGTAAGTGCGATAGGCCAAAAATACAAATATAATTGTCTTTTGTATCTACGATGCTATATGCAGACTCAACCTGTAATGAACACCCTGGCGGATTCGGGTTCACAGTAAAATGATCGTGAAACGACGGTGAATGTACCGTGAATTCACAGTGTCGACAAATGATCGTCGAATGACCGTCACTTGACTGTCGAACGGCCGTCATTTGACAGTGAACGACGAGTATCATTGTGAAAGTTTTTCACTGTTACTTTATGATTTTTATTCTGTATAATTATCATACTATTATTAAAAATTTGAGTTTTTTTTTTTTTAGAGACGAAAACTTTAATTACGAAATTACGGAAAAATTGTTTGTTATCAAGAAAAATTATTCTGAGATTTTTTAACAATTAAATTTTTAGCAATTTCTTTTTCAGATCTTTTTTTATACAGTTAATAATTTCACCGCAATTTCGAAATCATCAAAAATTTGAATCATTTATTACGATTATTATTTTGAAGTCCTGGAAAAAATATAACTTTATTTAAGCTATTTTTATCTGTACAATGAGAAAAATGACTTGGTTTTGACACCTTATCATGTCACTGAATCGAATACCCCGTGTGTTGTCTCAGATAGCCCAACTGGTAAAGTTTCGGGCACGCGACCATTTGAACCGCGTTCGAGTCCCGGTCTAGACTGTCCGAAGTATTTTTTTTTATTTTATTGTCCGTGACAGTAGCGTAAAATCACCGTATTTCGACAGTATATTGAGCGTACAGCATCGGTCATAACATCGTAGATTCACTTGCGTATACATCGTATATATTCAATAAATTCATAGTAGATATCGTTCACAACGGTATCCGATGCTGACTGATAGATCGCTCGGTAAGAACGAACTTTATACGGTGAAACGACCGTGAAACAACTGTCAAGCGACCGTGCTGCGACCGTGCTTTCACCGTGCTGCTGAAACCGCCAGGGCAAGCTGAAACTTTTGTAAGCCAGACACAAATAAAATTATTTCAACCCTTTCAAGAATGCTTACAAACAGCGCTATGAGTTTTATAGAATAATTTGACTGAAGTTTTGAATTTCCATTAAGAAATCCTTATGCATATATCTTGTGTTGTTGCAAACTGTGAATACCTCAAAAAAATTTCATACTAATCTTATCTGTTCTCCACATCTCCACATGCATCAAAAAGTAATTAAAAAATGAATTACTTGAAATAATACAATGAATCGAAATTTTGATAGCGAACATTTTATTCATTCATTCTCTGATCATAAAAAACTTCAAGATTTCTCATTATTTGAATATATCTCCAATAAATTCTTAATCTAAGAACATTATTTCAAGAACGGGTATTATGAAGGCGTACTAGCATATTTAAAAAGATAAATGATTATAGAATTTCTAATTGCATTTAATTTAAAGAAGTTATAATTTTTAACTTTTTATGAACACGTTATGATCATAACACTAATTTAATATATTTTTATAATAAAAAAGAAGGTAAATAAATTGATTATTCAGTTGATATAAATTCATATTTACAAATATGGTTGTTTTGAAAATTCTTTAAATCAATAACATTACAGAATTTATATCAATTTATTTATTCAAGAAAAAATAAATACATAGAGGTGTTTTTTTTCTTTTAGAAGAAAATAACAAAAAAGGTCTGTCAGAATTTACCCTACACAAATTAACAGAAACTCTTCATTACATAGAAGTGAAATAGTTAATATGATGTCAATAATTAGTTCATTTTTCTTATAAAATCTTCTAATGAGCAATAACAATCACCGGATGCAGTGGCGTAAAATAACTTCACTCAACCAAAGTTAAATTATGATGCACTTCGGTAATCATTAAAAATGCGTTATGCTGTACGATCATCTAATATGTTCTTATCATTTCGTTCTTTTTTACTATAATATATTCAGAAAGTTTACATGCAGCCCACAAGGTAAATATAAAATCTTGGTATGTAAACTTTTCAATTTTCAATGAAAAATATTGTATGTGTACAGCATACTATTAATTTTGAAAGTATTTTCTACGACAAGTACTTAGTCAAAAATTGCCATTGAAATAATTAATATTTGATCTGATACTAATTATTCTTCGTTTTTATACATGAATTATACCGTTTAGTTAGAGACATTGAAATAATTTTATGTAATTTTTAAAATTCAAAGTAAACTTTTTTTTAAATAACTTATACAGAAGTTAACAGCTATCCAACCATAACTGAAAAAAAAAGTTAATTTTTATCAAGTAAATATTAACTTAGTTTAATCGATTATAGTATCAGTTGGATATTTATTATTATTATTAAGTATTAATAATTATAATTAAGTATTTTAAATATGTACTGAAGTTATTTTGATTTTGTTTGACATAAATTTTTTAAACGAAAATATATCGAATCGAGACAATTTTTCTCCGAAAATTATGAAAATATTACGACAGTTGATTTTAAATAAACTTTTTTTCCATTCGGGAACTCGAACATTCCTGTCTAATTCATAATGAAATAGATTATTACTACATAAAATGTCAAAAAACACTTCATGTGTAATTCTGTCTATTAAAAGTGTTTTTCTTTTGTTTTATAAAACATGTAAATTGTATATCATGTATATTTATTTATTGTTGTTATGTTGGCAATTTGTTAATATAACGGTAATTTATGATATGCATCAATCGATGATCTCATTCGTTTGTAAAAAATAATATAATTATTAATGAATCTAACGTATATTTTACGTACTATGTACTGATATTAGATATACTGGACTTGTTCGAAAATATAATGGCCATTATAACAAGACAGTCAACATAAATACATTTATAATAATAAAAATACAAAATAGATACTTGTTTTTGTACTAGTAATACTATGATGTAAGAAAATGAAAGAATTCAAGAATGTATATTTTAACTATGGTTTTTTTATGCTTTAAAATAAGATTATACAGAAAAAAGAAACAAGTTGAAAATGGTATTATACTAAATATAATCCCAGAAGACAGACAAATAAAAAAAATGAGAAAAGGAAGCAGAGAATGAGTGCGGGCGGTATAGTAGGAGATGTTTTATATTGGATACAGACGTTTTTCCCCTCCTTGGCTCCTTTTTTTTTTAATCGAACTTCTCTGATCTCCTCCCCACTATCCGTCCTTGCCCGAAATCTCATCATTAAATATATATTTTTTATATTATTTTTTTTTTGTGTTATCACTCCATTTCAGGACTAAGAATATATTCTAATTTAGTATTAAAGCTAAAATTAGAAATAATGAAATATGATTATGTTAATGAGTCTAAAGTAACAATCACCTGGTTCTGCGAGCACTTGTAAAGATCCTAATGTGAAAGATAACGTAAATCCAATAAAGTACACGCAGCTTAACGAGCAATAACGTTCACACGCCATATTCCAAAACTAGGGGCCGATAAACTGCCGCTTCTTCGCGACTTTATGTCCCTCGACCCCTTAAAAAGATTTTGTTCTTGTTTTATTTTTCAGTGTCTTTAGAAGCTTGACGTCCTTCGATTCACTTCAACGAGGTCACGTTTTTGGCGCCTATAAACGATCACCAGGTTAATAAGCACTTTTCTTATTTCACAACTTTTTTACCCTATTTCATTAAATAAAAGATATACGCTTATCTAGTCGAATATAAAATATACATACAACAATTAATCAAATTTAATGATCAATAAATAAATTAACGAAAATTAAAATTTTAGTATTATAACTGAACACAATTGAATATTCAAACGGTACCAAAAAAATATAATTTAAACAATCCTTTACTCAAAACATGACAACTTTCAATGGGACTGACCTTAGGTATGGAATACTCTTTGTGACTGACTTCACTCTTTGTGTTGATTGCTTTTATATTTTTTAGAGTTGGGGGACCAAGAGTTTTCATTTTCTTCAGTATCTAGATTATTCGACCTAGGTATGTACTTATATATACGCATATCTAGATAAAAGAAAGGATAAATTCAGTGTAGTAGTGTTATGACGCGCCATCTAGATTAGCCCGGACAGTAGGTATGTCAGATATCTATTTTAATACTTGCTAACAGCCGAGACCAGTGATTGCAAATTTGCAAATTCAATCGGCTTAGCGAAACGAATGGAAATTTTGAAAAAACGTTTTTAGAGATAATAGATAATTTAATAAACTATTTTACCACAAAGCGTTTTTTTCAAAAATTTCATTCGTTTCGTGAAACCAATCGAAACTGCAATTGCTCTGCTGTTGGGAGTGCGACAGAGATAGTTCCGTTGAACTCTGTGAGAGCAAAGCGAGAAAAAGATGGTTTCACCTGTTATTAACAAAAATAAAAATCTAATTTTTATAAAATTTTTTTCGAAAATAACATTTCAAGGCCAAAAAAATGACCCCATAACTTTAAGATTGTGATGAGTTTATCACAAGTTATTAATTTTTTAGACTTGACATATACCACTATTTTTTTTAAATTTCTTTTTTTGTAGAAAATTAATTTTTTTCAAGTTTTTTAGTTATTTTATTTCCGTAAATTCAGCAATTTAGGATGTATAGTAAAAAAAAAAAAAAAAAAATTATTTAGAAAAATTAGATGTAGTGACCCGTAAATCTTTCAGATGCAGAATACAGTTACGTCACAGAAAGTAATTTTCAATAAGCCTTAGATAAGAATAGATTGAATAATAAAAAAATTAGGAGAACGGTTGACCCTAAAGGCCATCCCTGCAACTTCCCACTAATTCCATATCTAAGCGCTTAAAATTGCACTTATCACGTTTTTGAGTTCTTCGAGCTCAAAAATATAATTTATATGTTATTTTGAGCTTTCCAAGCTCAAAGAGTTCGCTGTTCTAAGCTTTTGAGCTCGAAGAGCTCAAGAGTCTGATAGTAGTTTAATAAAACACTATTTTTTGAATTTTCAAACCGCAATAAATTTTGAATAAATCAATCGATTTTCGCGCGGTTTACGGCATTTTCAATTTTTTCGACAACGATATCTCACGCACGAATTAACCGATTTTGACCGGACTGGTAGCGATCGACGTGGTTTTTTGACGATGAGAGCTGATTAGTTTTTAGAATCGATCGGTTTAGCTGTTCAGAAGATATTTCAAAAAAACAAATTTTTGGAAATTTAATTTTTGAGATTTCTCAAAATTTATTAACTCGAATTCTTTGAACTAGTATCAGAAATCTAACGGCAACGGAACTCTTTGGAACGCTGCTTATTTCGATTGAATCGGATAAGCCGTTCAAAAATTATGAGAGAAACACACACACACACGACACAGAGTGATGTCCTTGTGAATATATAACCAGAATAGCTCCCTCGAACTTTAGAATGTAGAGAAACTGAGAACTCGATTTTCCAAAATCAGGGCGGAACTAAGAACTTTCCAATTTTTAAAAGTCATAGATTTGATTTGATTTTCTCAGCAACAAATTGAAAAAAAAAAAAAAAAAAAAAAAAAAAAAAACAGTATTCACGAGTATTTTGAACTTTTTATTAATAAATTTTCCTACGTAATTACATATTTCGGCACATTATTCAATTCATCAGTTTTTGAAAGCCAATCAATACCGAAATTAGAGCCACGTTGCGAGTTTTTTCAAGCTCATTTTTTTCTTTAATCATTTCAAATCTTTTAGCATCTCGCAAAATTTTCTTTTGACGATCTCGTACGTATAATGCAAATTTTCGATGTCTTTGCCTCATAACAAGTAACATTTCTCCATCATTACCAGCTGGAATAATACCCGATTCTCTGATATAACGAATTACTTCAGCCCAAACTTGACCTTGAACAAATCTAAAAAACTGGTCCACAACGCAAAATGTTATAGAATCTTCTATTGATACATTACATAATAAAATTTTATAATACTCGCGCGATTTTTCACACAATTGTGAATTATTTAGTAGTATTTTCCTAATACTATAGACTTTTGGTCTAATAAAACCAAACATTGTAGTGATTGCAGGACTATAATCATTATTAATTTTTAAATGAAAACTCTCATGCCATTGATTTGTCCCCATTAGAGGTAATTCAACATCTATAAAACTCCGAACAATGTGAGACAGAAAATTATGCACTTAAGAGAAGTAAAGGAATAATTTACCTGCAATACATCCGTTTTCGGTTCTTTTAACTCCAATTCGACTTTCTTCATCTTTCCACACCCTAATTAACAAAGATATTAAAGTATTCGTCTTATCAGTACTTCTCCATGTACAAATGTGAGGAATACAATGTGGATTTAAACATAAGTCTGTTAAAAGGCCCAAATAAACATTTTGTACTAAATGATTAGTTTGATCTATCAAGTCTAAAATTGAGTACAGTCCTTCCATTTCCACAAATTTTTCTATCGTCACTGAAAACTTAATTATACAACTCCAAAGACAACCTCCCACACCGATTAATAATCTGTCAATGAAATCAATAATTAATAAATTCCTTTTTAACTAGACAATAACAACTTTAATTTTTCGGTTACCTGTCGTCTGTAATAAAATGATTCTCTTTTTTGTTTAAACAATATTTTAATAATTTTAGAAGTGATACAACTATTTTGTTTCCATAAATTGATATCCCTTGGAAATTACTTGTTACGATCGTATTAAATATAATACAAATAAGTATTAATGTTTGTTTATGAAAAGTTGTTAGCCGATCAAAACAGTAAATAGTATCTGTAAATTCTTGACATGCCTAAAATTAGATTCTAATTTTTTACAAAATAGCGTAAAAATATCTTATTACTTAGAAAAGTGGGGATGACTTCTTGGAATTGGCCTAATGAACTTGAGTAAGTAAAAGTAACTATAAAACAAAGAGTTTTCACAACTTCCAATGTAGTTTTACAATTTACTTGTCCTGCCATACTTGAATGAAATATGTTTAAAAAATTTATCGCATTACTGTGAATGAACTCTTCAGGGATTTTTGGCACAAGAAACATTAATGTCCGCAACGAGTATAAAAATAAATCATTTAAATTAGACGAATCCTGAAGTTTCGTTAGATTACTTATGTTTTGATTTAAAAATTGAAGGGTTTTTTCAATCACACAGCAATTTTTAATAATCTATAAATTAATTAATTAATCAGTAAGGTAATTATGTTTGATATTTCATATTTTTAAATAATATTCACCAGCAATGAGCCGTCAAAGTAGGAGAGTTGGCAAAGAGTAGAAAATAATAGTTTCCTAAATATAAGATCTTCGTTATTTTGAATTTCTCTTCTGAATACAATTTGAAAAAATTCTTTTATAAGATCAAAGTCAACGACAGGCAAGGAAGGTAAAGCTACGAGTTTCATTAAAAGTATTGTAGCTAAATTGTTGCGAACGATTAATACTTTGTAATTCGTATCAGAATAAGTAACTACTTGTTGAAAAATATTCTTCAAAGATCTGAAATTAATTGCATAATTATGGGAATGGATGAATATGTTATTTTAATTGATTAAAAAAAAAAAAACCTTGTTGAAACTGAACAAGAAGATATTATTTCTTTTATTATATTTAATGATTGTGGAGGAAAGATTGAATTCATTAATAGTAATAAGATGTTTATTACTACAATATTTTCATTTATATTGAAACTATCTTGTTCCAATTGCACAACTATATCGATTAACGACTGTTCATCCATTCTCGAAAGAAGATGCTTCAAAATGTCAGCTTTTAACATTTTATGACCTTAAAATAATAAAAACAATAATAAAAATAAATGAAAAGAATTTGCAAGTATTATTAAATGATACGATAAAATTATTAAAATTTTATAAACTCACAACAAATCTTAGATACTGATACTAAAACATAAGTTGTATCTAAAACTTTTGTATACATTTTCGGTGGACTAATTTCTATTAACTTGACAAGAATGAATGGAAGTTCTGATTTTTCAATGGACTGACAGCAAATTTTGAATTTTAAAGCAAAATTATCGCTAAGGCTCGATCGATTTAATAATTTACTTAAAGATTTGAGAATGTTTATAACTTGTTCTTGGCATGGTAACAAAATAGTTAAATATCCTAAAACAGTAAAGTAATTTTCTAACGTTTCAGAATGCAACGAATTTTCAGAGAAACCTTCGAGTAATGGCGAATAAGCACATAAATTTATCATATCATTTAAGTGTCGTTTATATTCTGATCTTTCATTTGATTTCCACGATAAAAATTGCAACACGTCGATCACAAATGAAAGGTATTTTAATTTCTAGATATTAATTTAAGAAAAATTCTAAGTTGAACCAAAGAATAAAAATACTATTATGCTTTAATTTATAATAAACTAGAATTGTAGCAAAATAAATGAATTTATAAAAAAAAAAAAAAAAAAAAAAAATAGTAAGGATACGTATCCCTGATGCCCGATTTCTCGTAGACAACTATTAAGTAATCGATCAATCCAAATCTCATTTTCTTGAGTTATTGGATCAGATATAAGTTTGCGTAATCTTTCGATTTTGTAGCTAATGCTCTTTTTATTAATATATTCATGAGTGGATAATTTTGAAGGCACTGAGGTATCACATGGTTTATCACTTTTTTTATGATTTAGCTTTCTTGAAAAATCATGGTTGAGACTATCAATTTTTTTGGTATTCATCGTAGTAGTAATTTTTGAGCTATCTTAAAATAATGAACAATTTTTTTTTACTTATTAAAATAACAAAGTACATTTTTCGAAAATCGATAACACAATTATAATTACTTCAAAATAAAATTTGTTATTAAAAAACTACCTTTTAACCTACCCAAGTTTTGCCATTTCTGAATATCAATCAATTATTTATAACAAAATAACCACAGCAACTGGGTTTCAAACATCTATAACGAATAGCAACTATTTTCTCAAACGTTTAGTATTGATAAATTGATAATATTTTTACTTTATGAAAATATTTTAGAGAATTAACTTCTACTCAACATTTGAATTTCACATTCTTACAAACATAATGGATGTCTGATCATTTAAAATAGCTTATTGATGATATGATTGCACTTTTATAAGTGAATAAATTGATTAACAGCTAACTTTCAATTGTTTTATGATTTACGTTGTTAGCAAAAATATTTAAAACAGTCAAACATTTGAATATGGAACGTAATTCCACAATAATTTTAAAATAAGTTTTCCTAATTTCTTAATTATGTAAAAGGCTCATGCGATTCAGATATCGTGAAAATTTACATATTAATAACTTTATACATTACTAACATCAGGATAAGGTAAGATTTTAATTATTAATTGGCTAAAATCAACACTAACAATTTAAATTATCAAATAAATGTTTTAATGTTTATTTTTAACTTTACTTATGACAGTAGAGAAGAGTTTGTATTTTTTTCAATTACAAAAGTTCTTAAAAATGTTATTTTCTTTTTAAATCTTATTTATCAACTTACAATTGATTAATTTTTATTGGTGGAAAAATTAATACTAACGTCGACCTCGACCTCTTCCACGGCCTCCACGACCTCCACGAGCTCCACGGCCACCACGACCACGACCTCTGGTTGCGCCTCTTGCAGCTTCCTTCTTTTTTGCTTTAGCTTTTGGAGTGTCATCAATAAGTAGAGTTTCCAATGGCAATGAATCAGGTAAAATATAATACCTAATGTTATTGCCTCTCAAACTTAACGTATCTAACTGCTGAGGTTCACGATTTTTGATTGTCATTTTAACTGTTTTTAAATGGGTATTCATTGCCACATCTACACCTATAATAACAAAAATTGAATTTTTTCAAGTAAATAATTTGTAGTTATTTACAAAGACATAAATAAGGTGAATATTTTGTTGTGGACTTAATGAATTTACCATAAGCGGTTTTACCAAGCCAAAAACTGTATTAATATATTTACTAAAATAGTATTTTTGTAAAATTAATGGTCTATTGTTATTAAAATTTTGAATTACAATTTTTACAAACTAATAATACGATTAAAATTTTAAATTTTAATTCAGCAGTTTAAATTGTTGATAAATTTATTCTCCGTGTCTCAAGTATTCAAATTTTAATTGCGATTATTTTTTTAATAAAATAATTTAAATACTAAAAATAGTTTTATAACAGAAGTAGTGTTAAGATTATTATATTTTTTTTTTAAATTAAAGTTCTTTTAAAATCTAAATAATAAATAATATTACATTTTTTACTTGTGTAATCATTATGGAATATTGATGGCCGAGATATCAAATTGATTTTCTTAAAAGAAAATTACTTAACTCTAAATTAATAAAAAAATGAGAATTTTATTTTTGTTTGTTTTTCTGAAAAAATTTCCAGTGTTTGGGTAGACATGTTTTAGTAAATTCTGACTGTCTAAAGCGATACTTGGTGTATTAGTTCGAGAGTAGTAAATATGTTTTTCGAATAAATTAAAGATTTTTGCACTCTCAATTCTAATAGATTTGTTTTTCGTAAAATATATATGCTAACTTCAACATTCGCATAATGGTTTTGCTACAAGAATGAGGTATAATGAAAGCGGATAATACATACCAGTAATTGTGCCATGAACTTGTGTACCATTTTTTAATTCTATCGTGACAGTCTCATGACTGAGTTTCATTAGGAATCTAAAAGAGAAAGATTTTATTAATTACATATTTATTTTTTAAATTATTTAGTACAAAATTTAAGTTAGGTTAGAATGCATGTAGTTATTGGTATTGAATTGCTTTTACTATAAAAGTTCTACTAGTTTCATTTATTAAAACGTGAATTTTGGAGTTTTTTACATTTTAAAAAAAAGTTGATAATTACCTTACTAGCTTCATTTTATGTTTGTTATAATTATATTTTTGAACTTTTGTACAAAAAAATACACCGGCAAAATAACTATGCTATTTGTAAGTAAACATAAAACGTGAGGAAACGTCGAAACGTCGATAGTATACACCAATTCAAAATTGTCACTACTGTCATATTCTATTGAGCGTCATAAAAAATCATGAAAACTGATAAAAATTCTGAAAGTAAAAAGTTGTACATATATATATAAATATATATTAAAATAAAAATTTACAATCACTGGCGAGAAATTAATAACTTGGAGTTTTTCTCAAAATTAAAATTAGATTTTTAAAATTAAATTTAATAAAAATATCGTGAAAAGTGAAAATGCCGGTATATTATTAACTGATAGTTACAAAGATCATCTCATCAAATACTTGTAAAATCAGCACTCCTGCTGATCCTAATAAGTTGTTATTAATTTATTTAACTAAAAAAGAAAATTGCATCTGAAACTTTTACAGGATGAGATTTATTATTTAAACTTTCATAATTTGATGAAACTTCAACATCTAATATAATTTATGTGATCTTCCCCTATATGTGCTATGTTGCCGCTAAATCCTACTTCAGAAAAACGGATCGATGTGTAAACAACAAATAATAAATATAAATGATGCAAGCCTATGTGCAGGTGTTTTTGAATATTAAGAATAAAAAATATTGATTTATTTTTTTATAATTTGTTAACAGGAGTTCAACTGATTTTTTCATTTTCTATGACCCACAATAGATAGAGCTAACATCTCTGAACAGTATTACATATTAATCATATTAAATCAGACAGAAAAAAACTAAAACATGTAATTTTTTAAATGGAAATTATTTGTCGGTAATAAAAATTTATTCATTAATAACAGTTTAATCAAGCTATAATCTATATACAACGACCAAACTTCAATTATTTTAGTGAAGAAATTTATAAAAATTTTTCAAAAATATCCAAGCGTCAGTGTGAAGTTGCACCTTAACGACAGACAACATCTGTGTGTCGCATATTATGTGTGTATGTACACCATTGTCACATAATCGCTGAGTTTTTTTAGATTTAATAACTGTAAAAAAATAGTATCAGTATAAAAAAAAAAAAAAAAAAACAAACAAAAACAAAAAAAAAACAGCTTGTTAAAACACTAAAAAAAATATAGTCGTTGATTTCACCAAATTTTTTTCTGTTTCAATTGGTGAACGACGATTTTAAATTTACATAGAAAGAAATAAATCGGTGGAAAATCCCCTTTAAAATGGTTAGAAATTTGTAACTTACCAATTAGTAATGATAGCAATTTTTGATATTAATTCACCTTAAATGTGTTGTTGAGTATTTAACTAAAAATACTTGATTTATTTCTGTTCGTGAGATTTTGGATAAAATTACTGAAAAAATCCTGAAGCAGATTCTCTTGAACTTTCAGTACGTGCGTTATCAGTATGCTTTTTGAAAGTTCCATTAAACCGCTATAGGTCGATAAATAATTAGACAGAGTAGTGTAAGAGAGCAAAGACAAGTGTCGCGTAAACTTGAAAACATAGCTTACACATATGATGCTTTGAACTTGAAGATAAATATTCGTTTAGATTCACATTTAACTATAAGAATAAAGTAAAGAAATCTATAGTTATAGTTTTTTAATCCCACAATGGATTCTTTGGCTAATTATTGTAGTGATGGAGAAAATAGTAACAATTCAGGTGACGCTCAAGTAAGTTGGTTTTATTTGGTTGAGTATTCATAGTTGTGCATTCATTAACTGTAAATAAAAATAATATTTTTTACGAAGTGCTAATTTTTTATTAAAAACTATTTCAGATGTCAAATGAAAAGAAGTGTAGTACCCGCGAGAAGAAATCCAGCGATGTCAATTACGATCCAGTTCAAATGGATATGAGTGAGGTATATAAAAATGCATGTTAAAGAATTAATTAATGACTTAGTTTTAAAATAGATGTACGATAGGAAAATTTTAGGATATTTGCAATTACCGCATAGCATAGGTAATAAACAGGGTTCTGTGTTTAAAATCATACGAGGTTATGTTTAGAATTCTTGTTTACTATATAATTTCAATATTTCATTAATAAACTTATTGAAAATCATGAAAATTGATCGGTGCTGATATTTATAAAACATGACCTCGTCGTAATCAATATAAGATCTTAATGAACTTAGCTAGAATATTAGTTACACAAATGTTTATTAAATAAGTGGGAATGGTGTCATTTCGTGAAAGAATATTAACACGTAGCTCTGTTGACAATACATGACACAATATCTCCACACCTCGGCAAGGTCAATGCTGTACAAGAGTACCGAGTCTACCCCCAAGTCTCTTAATGAAGACATAGGTGAGTAGTGGAAATCTGCCAAAAGGTAAAAAAGTGTGAAAGATCGATAGGAATTAAAACAAAAAACTGGTTTATTTGGAAAAGCTTTGGTATCTTTGTTAGTTATAAAAAAAATAAAATTATTCTGTTAATTTTTTAAATGAATAAACAAAATATATATATATATATATATATTTGGGAAATATTGACTAACAAATGTAAATGTGTTCCTTCATATAAATCCAGTTAAAAATAATCGACAACTTGGTTTTGGGTTATTTTAATTTACAAATATTTTATTTTTCATTAAATTTATTTGAAAATTTTTTAATTATTTATTTTTTTACTTAGGAAAGTAACAACAATAATTCTTCGGATGACTCGGAAAGTGATAACAGAACTCGTAGTCCAACGATATTGAATCACCAAACGTCGAGTGCTGTAAAGTCAGATTCTACACGTTCTCATCGATCTCCCTCAGACCAGAGGTATGCTGGTTTGGTTTTTTCTCAATTATAATAAAAGCGTTATGAAGCGTTTTTTTTTTTTTAACTTTTTTTTTTTATTTTATAATTGATATTTCGCGTCAAAAATAAATATAAGATTAATTATTCAATATAATTTGATTTATAGCTTTAAAATTTTCAAAAGTTTTAAATTTGCTGTCAGTATAATATTTTTTAATCATCAAAATATGATTAAAAAAGATACTAATACTATTTTAAATTAAAGATGCTTTCAGTTCAATTTTTTTGTGATAACAAAAAGTGTTAAAATTTAAGTAGTATTAGTAATAACATTCAAATATTTAATGGTAGTGTTCTGATTGTACGATTTCAAAAGCAAAAATACTTTAATTTTTAATTTTCAGTTATCTTTTCTAATTAAAAAAAAAAAATAGTCGTATGAATTTATCGTAAGTTTTTCGAAAATTCCACAAAATAAGACTAATTAAATTTTAAGTAAAAAATGAACTAAAATTTAATTATAGCATATTTCGTAATTCATAATTTCAAGTATTATAAATAGTAAGACATAATATTTAATTTATGTGTTAAATTATAATTACTAACACATTTATTTAATATAAAATTTAATGACATTCAAGTATATAAATAAACAGTATTGAGATTCATGGATACATTTCAATTCTTTTAATTACATTTAAATATCTGTGAATTATAATCTATAATTAATATTAAAACAAATAAATATGCGGCTCATTCTTAAATTGTCATGATTATTTGCAAACAAATAGTAATCGTTCCATGAGTCGATTAATAATATGAATCTGTGTGGTATACCCCTGCAGAACGTAATCATTTTACAGACGTGCAGATCATGACAGTTACAAATCAAGTTCTCAAGGGGACCTCAAGCGCAGCAATAATAAAAATTATCGTACACGAAGCTCAGAAGAAAGATGTCACCGATCGTCAAGTGATAGAAAACATCGTGATTCAGATTATAAAGATTCTAAAAAATCTCGAGATGATAATAGAAGAAGACATCACGATGAAGATCGTAAAAGAATACTATACAGGCGATCTAAATATAGAGATCGGGACCAAAGGCATTCTAGAAGTGACCGGACAAAAGACCGTTATCGGGACGAACATTCATCATATCAAAAAGACAAAGACCGTCCGAGGTCTCGATCAAAATCAAAAGATCGTTCTTCATTACCTTCCCGATCATTAAACTATCGCGAAGAAAAAGGAAGAAGTAAATTAGCACAATTAGAAAAACTTGGCATAGAATTGAAAACTCCTGAATGTACAGCAAGTAATCCAAATGCTCATAATGAACAAAGTTTCTATAATCCTTTAACAACTGCAACTCAGGGAAAATATGCAGAACAAATTCAAAAAAGGAAACTTTTGTGGGCTAATAAGGTAAGATTTTTGTTTAATTTATTTCTTATATTACTTTTATTTAATCTACCCTTATTGCTAATCTATTGAAATTTTCAATATATAGTCAAAGCAAGAAGAAGGTAAAGCTACCCCTGCAGTAAGTTCCAATACATGGATGGGAACGACATTTACTCATGATCAAGATGGAAAGCTTTCAGCTAAATTTAAAAGATTAATGGGTATAAAAAATGAAGTACTCATTGCACCAACGCCGGGACAAAAGCCAGAGATTTTAAAGAAACAGGAAGAAATGTTCAATAATATGGAACAACAATATGAAGTAGCTCGCGCAACAACACATACTCAACGAGGGGTTGGACTCGGTTATGCTAGTAGCGGTTATCAATTTCCTAGATAGTTTGCTTTATTTTTTCTTAAGTTTTTGCAGTTTTTTTCATATTTCCAAACTAAGTGAGAAAGCATACTTATTTCCAATTAATATAATAAAAATTAAGTAATTTTCGATCATTTTATAATTTTTATGGAAATATGATGTGTTCATAAATTATTTGATGGATAAGATTATCAACTCTTTATAGAGTTGAGAGTATTTCTATTGATGTAATAGTGAAGGACGTCTATCTGAGTAGAGAATTTCACATAAAATTATCTGAAAATTATTTTTTCCAACACATGAGTTATTTGACTTATAATGATACTCGTTGATAGTTCTTCGTAAAACTTGGATTTTTGTGAAATTATTGCCAATAATAATTTTAACGACATTTGTTTTTCTTGTGTGTAAGAATTCATTTTTATTAATGTAATGAATAAATAATAAATAATCTATTGTATTCATTGTTTCCACAGTAATTCTATTCTAAAAGTTATACCTCACATTTATTGAAATATAAAAATAATAAGCAATACAATTTTACATTAAAAATATAGTAAAGTAATTTAAAAAAATCTTTTTTTTTTTTTTTTTTTTTAAGATTATGTTAAATTATCTAATTAAAATTGAAACATTTTTTAGTGCTAATTTAACATTGTTTCCCAATTTTGTTTTAATGTTATTAGCTAATTCCTTTTCTTAGTTTAGAGATTACTATGAAATAATTTTTTTAAATATTTGAATAATCCTATAAGAAGCTGATCTTAAGTTGCTAACAAGTAAATTCGTTTAAATAAATTAATACTTCAATAGCATTTTTTTTAAATTTAGCGCTCTTCATTTTAGTTATTAAAATGACCCACAGAGTGCGACAAAATCTGTTGTTTTCATCATAACCTTTCTGATTGGTCATAAGAAGATCCTTACAATATGGCTGGATGTAATTTAAATTGAGCGTGCTAACGTCTTTGGTGAAACCGGTGAGACAAGAAAGCATACGGATAACGACAGCTGCAAGTTTGTGATAGCTATTGCACGTAGTCTATATAAAAATATAAAGCATCAACATTTTTTTAGTATTTATTGAAGTTGTGGCCTTTTTAGGCCTTTTTAATAATATTAATAATGGATAATTACTTGAAAATTGAAAAAATTGGTGAAGGTAAGGATTTTTTGCCACTAATTTATATATGATATCATAAATTTTAGTTTCCACGCTTTGTGACCTATATACAATTGAATTGATGTTTATAATATTATAATTTAGATTTTATTTTATTCAAGAGAAGCTGTTTTGTTTTTATTAAATCTAATAATATTTTCTCTTTTATTTTATACATTCATTCAAACATCAACAACATTGACATTTTTATTGATCGAGGTTGGATTTTCATCAATCAAAGATCCACTGCACCCGTTTTACAATTTATTTGATTAAGATAATTTATACATTGTAGCCCAAATTGTATAATCTCAAAGTGAAAATTCTGTTAAAAATATTGTCATTAATTAATCATGATTGAAAATGTTTACGAATTTAAAAATTTTACTATTATCAGCATCAATAATTCTGTAGCTTGAGCATTTTTTTTTAAGTACTTAATTTACAAAAAAAAAATTTTTGATACTAGAAATAGCAAGTACTCTACTATTTAATAGAACAAATAATTATTAAAAAAAAAGACGCATATTAAAAATTTGAAGTATCTCTAAACTCGATTTTAAGATTTTTTTTTTAATTATAAATATTTATTGTTCAACAGGTACTTATGGCGTTGTTTACAAAGGTAAACATAAAAAGACTGGGGAAATAGTAGCAATGAAAAAAATTCGCCTGGAAAGCGACGATGAAGGAATTCCATCAACAGCAATTAGAGAAATATCATTGTTGAAAGAATTAAAACACCCAAATATTGTTGGTTTGCTCGATGTACTTATGGAAGAATCCAGACTTTATCTCATTTTCGAATACCTTACAATGGACTTGAAGAAATATATGGATACTTTAGGAAGTGGAAAGCTCATGGATCCTGTCATGGTCAAATCTTATCTTCACCAGGTAAATAAATAAATATATTTATTTATTAACCCGGGTGTTCAATTAATATTCTAATAAATTTCTTTTATTACAGATCACAACAGCAATATTATTTTGTCATACTCGTCGAGTTTTACATCGTGATTTAAAGCCACAAAATTTACTCATTGATAATAAAGGAGGAATCAAAGTTGCTGATTTTGGATTGGGAAGAGCTTTTGGAATACCAGTACGTGTTTACACTCATGAAGTAGTCACTCTATGGTATAGAGCTCCAGAAATTCTTCTTGGAACTACTAGATACACATGTGCCATTGATGTTTGGAGTATCGGATGTATATTTGCTGAAATGTCAACAAAGAAACCATTGTTCCAAGGGGACAGTGAAATAGATCAACTTTTCCGAATTTTCCGGTAAGAATTATTTATTTTTAGTTAGCCCATTGATCAAATAAATCAACACGGTCCATAATTATTTTTAAATGTACTTTCGACATCAATTTGGTACTGATAGACTGGTATCAAATATAATATAGAAATGCTGAATTTGAGATTTAAAAAAAAATTTTTTTTAGCCACGAAAAAGATGTGGTTTATATATAAAATTAAAAACATTTGTTTTATTTAAATATGAATTTTTCCAATTAGCCTTTTAATAATATTCAATTTTTTAGTGTTTTGAAAACTCCAACAGAAGAAAACTGGCCTGGAGTTACTCAGCTTTCTGATTACAAAGCAACTTTTCCTAATTGGACATCTAACAACTTGGCTAATCATGTATCAACCCTTGATGAACAGGGCTTAAATTTACTTCAAGCAATGTTAATATATAATCCAGAACGTAGAATTTCAGCGCGTTCTATATTACAACATCCTTATTTCGATGGTTTCGACTCCAAAAAATCTTGTGTATAATTTAGAGTACAATTATAAGTTTTTAGATTTACAATTCTTATGCATATATATATTTTCGTCTTTAATATGTTAATTTATTATAATAAGGTATTTTTAATGTTCGAAAATCGGAAATCCTTTGTTTATTCATTAGTTCCATTCAATAATCATTTAATCCATTGAATTAGCTCAATTTGTATTAATGGATTATAAGTCATTTTTTTGACAAAATTAATATTGAAGAACTTTTTCCCCCCTTTTTTTTTTTTTTACTTTTTTTACCTACGAATCGCTTAAAATATTTTTCACCATATCATATTGAAAATTAACTCGTTAATATTATACTTATTTTTATAAATAAATTATTTTTAATTACAGTATTAATAATGTTAATTATTATTTACATCTAGTCATTTAAATCCATTACAGTTTACATTCACTGTAAGTACGTCGTTGGCATCGCGGTTTACGACCACTTCCAGCGCCTCCCTTCCATAAGAAATGACGGTGGCTAATTTGCATAAAACAATAAAAATAAATAAGTTGGTGTGATATTGTCACCAACACAGCCCAAGCGGCACAAATTTTTGTTTGTTAATATTTTGTTGAATTTAAGTTGACGATTATTAATTTTTTAACTTCTTGTTGAGTGAAATCTATCAAAAAGTTAACATTTTTTTTTGTGACGCTTGGGAGTCATTGAATTGTTTCGTAGTAATTAATACCATTCTGGTGGATAACAATAACCAACTGATTTACTTTTCTGTTGATTTCTTCTTGACATTCTGAGGTAACTTCTTCCTTTCATATTTTTTCCATGATTGTTGTCTTTGCTTTGGTCCCCGTTGTTGTTGTTGTTGTTGTTGTTGCTGCTGCTACTTGTTTTGACTTATTTTTATTATTGACTACTAGTCCTTCCCGATTATTTCTAATTGATGATTTTACTCCTTTATTTGTACTAATTAAATACATTTTTTAGCCGAATTTAAGTCTCGATTGATAGACATTTTACTTTATTCTCTTCTTGTATACACATGACTACTCTTTTTTTAGGATTATCTTCTAAACGTTGAAATTTACCATTGGCCAGACAATTTGAACAAGCTCGTAAAGTATTGTACTTTTGATGTTTAAATTTACGACCAGAGAAATGAGCACGCCCCATAAATTTGTACCCAGTACCATGAATTATAGTTACAGGTTTTAGTTTTTCCCAAATGCATTTTTAACTGATTTTTCTACTAACAATTTTACGTTGTTTTTTTTTGCATTGTATAATAACATTAAAAACTTCTCTTGTTATTGAAGTTATTTCTTCTTTTTCTCCTGGGGTTGGACTTTTTCTTTGGTATGATCCTGTAGCTCTTAAGCATGATTCTCTCTTAGTTTCTAAATTTTTTTTATTTACTTTTTTAACACTTTTTATTTTTACGTGCTTTATTACGAGCTCGTCTTTTATCAGATAAAACATTTGGTCATTGACATTCTTTACTTTTATCTTTTAATTAACTTTTCTTTGCTTTATGGCTCTCATGACATTTTTCATTTTTTCCTCGTTGACTTTCTTTCCTTTTCTTTTCTTTTTTTTCCTATGTTTAAGCTAGTGATGCATATTCAGTTAGTATTATTTCTCTAACAACTCTATGCAAATCTTTTGCAGTTTTAAATCATTTGTCGTGTTTACTACGTTTCAATATTGGACGATATTCGTACGGTTTTTGCATAAAATTCATGCATTTTAATCGGTATTGTGTGTAATCTATAGATTTAGATTAAACTTTGAAGAGAGGTTTATAATCACTATCACTTTTATTTTTTTTTTTTCCTTTTTTTGTTCTCACGTAATAATCTCTTTTCATCTCACTGCGTTTATATTCCGAGATGTAATAGAACATTCTGTTTGAAGGTAGTACCTTGAACAGTCAGTACCATCATTTTCATATCCTGCAAAAGCTGTACTATTACTCGGATCACCACCCATATAGCTTACATTTTTTTTACTGTAATAATTTTATCGTCATTTTCACCATTAACTTTTTCAATTTCTTCAATTTCATATCCATTAACTTTGTAATCACGTGGATTACGATTGAACCACTTGTTCCATAATACTTATTCATGAAATTTTTGATACCTTGCTGTCCATTTTTATTTAGTTGATTATCTTTATTAAATTTCATCGATATCGAATGTGGATAGGTTTTTGTTTACCGCAACCAGCTCAAATTTTTTTTTCCACGCCGAATTTTTCTTTTAATTTCTCCTTACTGCCTTCCAGTCAATTTTATATTTATTAAACGTTTCTTTGAAATAACCCAGGTGGAAAAAATATTATAATGATTTGCACATTATAATGTCATTATAATGCGTGTCAAAAATATTTATTTTTCCGAAATTTCCCATCAAAAATTTAAAAAATACCAAAAACTCTGCGTTAAGATAATTAGGTTTGAGCTGGAAACAGTCAAAACGAGAAAGGTTTATTATGATAACTTCAAAATAAAATTTTATGAAAGATTGGGACCTCAACACCAGATTTTTTTTTATAAAATATAATATTTATTTGTACGAAATGAATTATTTAATTTTTTGAATACACAGCCGCCTTTGGGAAAGAACGAGCTTGGAAGAAGGTAGACGATCAAACCATAAAGCAAAGTCTCCGAAATAAATTGCTAGAGTATAGAGACTAATAATAAGTTTCAGATAAAAAATTATTATTAAAAAATCTTTAAATTATTGTTCTTTTTCTTGTTTTCCAATAAACAGTTATGAAAATTCAAGACGATATAATAATAATAATAATTATTGATTAATAAATTAATTTAGCTCAAATTTCAGCGTTTCGAGGTCAAGAAAAAATATTTTGGCGCAGTGTTCCCGAATCGTTGTACAACTTTTTTGCGAAATTTGAGTAAACCTCTTTTGATGCAATCGTTTAAGTAAAACTTATTGAAAAAACGTCTTAGTGCTGAGTTCCTGATCCTTCAGAAAATTTTATTTTAAAGTTATCAATTGACCTCTCTTGCTATGACTGTTTCCAGCTTAAATCTTATTAATTATCTTACATCAGAGTTTCTGGTATTTTTTATTTATTTTATTAGAAATTTTGGAAAAATAAATATTTTTGACACGCATTATAACGACATTATAATGATATTATAAAGGGCAAATCATTATAATGACATTATAATATTTTTCCACCTGGGAAATCAAAGATTCAACACGTTTCATAAGTTCCTTAAAATTTGACGAATGATATATTTGATGATGTAGACTGTAACTCCACTGTGGAAATATTTCAAATGATTTAACTTCTTGATCGTCGTACACTTTTTGAATTTCTAGAAAGTATGGCAATTTTATGTACTAAAAACAGCGTCAACAAATTATTTAGTTTTTTTTACGTACTTTCCTAAAGATATGAAGATAAGACTATGAAGTTATCTTAAACGTTTTTTTTTTGGATTTTCGGAACAAAAAGAATGTTTCTCGATGATCATCATCTATGATTTTTTTCTACCAGAAACTTTGACATTTTTAGAATTTCTCAAATTTTGTCAGAATGGTCTTCTTTTGATTTCTATTTTAAGGTAGATTTTACCTTCATTAGAAAAAGTAATTTGAAACGATTGACTATGTAAACTATCTAGAAGAGGAGAAATTCAAAAGTATTAATAGTTTATATAATTATTATTTTTATCAACTGAATTTTATATACAATAGTATTAATAGTATTTTATATTGTATAGTATTAATAGTATTCACATGTATTGAAAAAGATTCAAATTTTGTTATTTCCAACATATATTTTCCGAGATATCTTTTAATTTTTTTTTCAGTCAGGGTACAGAAATCTATCTATGGCATTCATCCTTATGATGGAATTTTTAATTAATTTTGCTGTTATATGTCTTAATTAGTCAAGTAGGTTTTAAAAATTTATATATATATATATAAATATAAGTATACATAATATAATCGCATCCTTGTCATCAGGGTAGCACCTATAATTCTTAATCGATCTTTATAAAATTTAGGGTACTTATTCGATAAGTGATTACCTTGGACGAGTTTAAATATAAACAAAGTCAGTTAATTAGTTTATAATGGTAGCCATTTACAATTTTAAAACCATATGCAAAATTTAAAAAAAAAGCTTTCGAAGTTTTCACTTTTGGATTTTTCTAACTTTTTTTTTTTTTTTTTTTTGATAACTAAAATGTTTTTTTAAATCATTGGTATAAGTTCAAAATACTTAAATTATATAGTAAAATAAAGTTGTTATTAACTAACAAGTAGAATTACGCATTGAATATATTTAGTCTCTGTTAACTGTTTGATAATTTCTCAGAAAAGAATGATAGATGCTTTTTTTCGCTGATTATATGAATTAAAATGCAATAATATTATGTAGATACTAAGAATGTCTTTTATTCACATGGAAATTTTTTTTTAGACTTGACTTGCTCTATTTTAGAAAAGTCAGCTTAATTTGTTGAAAATAAAGAAAAAAAATAAAATAATGCTGCGTACATTGTGTAAAGATTAGATGAAAATTATCTTCGGTCCAGGGGAACTGGGAAATCTGAAGACGTTACTGATAAAATTACACTGATTCGTCATCCGTGAGTCAAGTATTAATATATGGAAAAGAAAAGAGGGGGCTTAATTGAAGAAAGGGAAGGGAAAGAATGATATATAAATGAAATAACAGTGTTCTTTCAGTGTTGATTTGAAATTTAACTTGTTGACTATACACGCTTACCCATCAAAGTAAGTATTTTGAATAATATTTCATTCAAAAAATATGCTTTAGTTGTTTATATTTAAGTATAAAACAAATAAATAATACATGTTTAAAATACTTTTATAGTAATAAAACAAAATTTTTCTGAGAACTCTTCTGGAGCTCATGAGATGAGAAAGTTTTGCAAATAGATTTTTCTATAGAAAATTTAATCCCTCTAAAATTTACGAACTCATTACATTAAATATAATTCATCTTCATTAACTATTTTGCATAGTTCAAATAATCTGCTTCATTTCCTGACTTATATTCTTTTAATTTAATCAAATTAATACGTAACATTGACATACTCGTAAACAAAAGTTTTGCTCAAGGTCAAAATCAGTAAAAAATATTTAAACCAGTTAACGTACATAAAAACTGTTTATTTCTATTATTATTTGATTAATTTATTTTTCTTTATTCTGATTGTTTTTAGATGAAAGAAATCACTGTTGCACTTCTTGCGATAAGTTTTTTAGCATTGACAAATGCTCACACTTATCACATGGGAGAATGCCCTGTTGTACAACCAGTGACTGATTTCCAGATGAGTAGAGTAAGTATATATTTAATTAATTTATATTTGAGTGGTATTTTTATTGGCTATAAATTTTGTTTAATTTTACAAGGTTTAAAATATTAGAATAATTCAATTGCATGTTCATCAATCAGAATTTATGCTTAAAAATACTTTTCGCTTAAAAGTTTTAAACTACATAAAATTTAGATTACTATCGTTTTCCCGAAAATTTAAGATTTTAAATTTGACACCAGCCACACTAAGAGATTTAAAAAAATGTTCAAGTATTTAAAAAAATATGTCGAATTCTACAGAATCGGCTAATTTGTTTCAAATATGTCCCGAACAAAAAATTAAAAAGAAAAAAGTATTTGTTCGAAATAACTTTTTAATTTTTTGATCAAATTTTTGAATTAAAAAAATTACAACAACCCTCACAAACCACGGTCAAATGAGTTCGTTTACTCAATAGATATCCTTATCGAAATATATTCGAATCAGAGTTTTTTTTTTAAATAATTTATACGACTAAAAACTACGTTGGATAGTTCAAGCGTCGTCGAAATATATATTCGTTTGTAAGATATTTGAGATTAAATAATTTTTTCCCCTAATTTGTCAAAAAAAAAATTTGAAACGAGAAATATTTTTACAATTTCTTCTAATATTTGATAACAGTCATATAAATTCTTATCTGTTTCTCTCTTTATCTAATATGTTTTGAAAAAACAAAAAAAAAAAAAAAAAAAAAATTGTTTCAATACGAAAATAGATAAAACTTTTTATGTTATTATTATTTTTCAAATCATTTTTAATAAATCACATTTGTCATTTTTTAATTAAATAATCAACTGTCTAAAAATAAAAACTTTTGTATTTTAAATAGCCGATTTACATATGTATTATTTAATTCAATTCATACTAAAATAATTATTATGTATATATAATAGAAGTCGTTTAGTATGTTGATACATATTTGTATTATATGCATTAGCTGAGAGATATTAAATCTATCGTTACTCATAATTTGTGTCAACAGTTTTTGGGATATTGGTACGTCATTCAAAAAACTTCAACTGCTAGTAAATGCGTTGGATACAATTACACACGTGGCGATGAACCTGGAGAATACACAATTTCTCAAGAATCAAATCATCCAGTATTGGGTAAATATTTATAAAAACTTTATATATAATATCTATAAAAATATTCGCATCCATTAATTACATATGTAGTCCATAGTATAAAATAAAAAAAAAAAAAAACCGCACATAACTAAGCGTAATTGTCACACTAGAAACAATAGCTTAAGACGTTGTTCAATATTATTTTTAATTGTTAATTTTATTATAAAAATGTTCTCTTCCAATAACATAAATAATAAAAATGAAATATTAAAAAGGTATAAAAGGAAAAGAAAATTGTTTTAATTAATTTGACTTTGAGCTTTAAAACAAAAATATCAGAAAAAAAAAAACACATTTTTTTTGTCACATACTCTTTTAATTTTAAATGTATTCAACGTATGATATATTGTTAAAGAACAAATTATATTTGATGATATTTTACCCAACAAGAATAATAAAGAACAATTGATAAAATTTATTTCTTTAAAAATACATAAGTACATACAGACATATCAGATAAAGTATTTGATTTGATCCTACATCATAATGATGCATTGACGAGATGAATGATAATAAAGTGAGATCTATTGTATTATTCAGGCCTTACTCCTCTGAAACATGAGTATCGTTATACTGGTGAATTAACTGTACCAGAACCAAGTACGCCAGCACTGATGCAGGTTCGCTTCCCACTGAGTAAGTTATTTTTTCTCAAAAATAATTTTTGATAAAAAATCGAATGCTGCAATTAAATATAATTATTTTAATTTTCATAGGTGTAGCTGGAAGTGCTTCCCACGTTATTTTTGCAACAGATTATGATAACTATGCTGGTATCTTTACTTGTCAAAAACTTGGATTTGCACACCGTCGGAGTGCTACAATTTTATCACGTATGAAAGAACTTGACAAAACGAAAGTTGATGCTATACGAACTAAGTTAAGCAGTTATGGTGTTGATCCTTATGATTTGAGTATTGTACCCCAGAGTGGGTGCAATGCTGGTCAAGATCCCGTTAAAATTGACATTAATCCAGATACTTTTAGTTCTGAAAACGTTGGTAAAATTTTCCGCAAAGCAGGAGATAAAATAAAAAATGGTTTTGAATGGGTTGTGAATGCGGGAAATAACGTTTACCATAAAATCACCGGTAGTGAGTCAAATGATTCTGGTAAAGATAATATAAAAGACCAGCAACCTGGGACAGTCAGACCTATTAGTCATCCAAAAATTGAAACCAATGAAGTAGAATGGATTCCTTAAGTACACTAGTATATTTTATACTTTGACTGATTACTACTGATACACTTAGCTATTTTTAATAATATTCCACAATATTTACAGCATTTATTCAGCGTAAATACAATACAATACATAATTATTTTTCTATTTACTCTGACAGTTTTTGTGATATTGATTTATATTCATTAACATTATGTAATGTAGATAGTTTTATAAAAATATAAATCATATATTAAAAAATGATTATGTTAATAAAAAATTTTATTAAACAAAAACTGAATATTGTATATCTATTTGACCTTAAATTTCGATCGGCAAAATTAATGTAAAAAAAGGTGTGACATTTCGTTATTATGTCTAATACTTTTAACGTGCTGTTAAGTAGTTAAAATGTATGCCTACTTGTCTTTTTTTCTTCCTGCAAGGCCTCATAATGAATGTCGTTTGATGTTAATAAAAGTTCCGAAAATCCTATTTCTATTCTTTCACCTTTGTTACTGTTCACAGAATTAAGAAATCAACACATTCGGTAAAAAAAAAAAAATCTGGAATTTATGACAGCAAATTCTCAAGGAATAATCCTTTGAAAGAATCAGTATTCAAAAGCTGACAGCTCAGAAAGTCTGAGATTTATAATATTCTCCGAAGGAAGATTGAGGTACCGTTGACTTTTATTAAAATTTTAGTATTTATTTTTAATTAATATACATTGTCAATAACTTTGCATATCATTAACTATTAACAGTAATCAAATGTTTATACTTGACAGTTAGTTTACAGCCAAATTTGATATTATTGCAATAATTGTGTTTAAATCTATTTTATTTCTTTTCGGTGAATTCATATCTTACACTATAAATTTTTTTTATTTTCTTGGTTTTTTTCTTATTATTATTCATAATAATAATAATAATAATAATAATTTGTAAAATATTAAATTATTTATAGTTCTTTTTACTAATATTTCTTTTGTAGTCAACAATTACTGCGGTCTATACTCACACTTTTACTCTCGTACATGCTGATACAATATTACCGTTCACAGTCGCAATCAAATGATCAGTCGGTTAGTAACTGTTGAAGAGTCAAACTAATTTTGAATTGATAAAATCGAATCTGTCAGTTATTTATGAGGAATTGTTTCATATGAGATAGAAAAAAAAAAAAAACATCAAATCTTTTGACAATTTAATAAATAATATTATATTAATTATCAAAGGTACGTGTAAAACATTTTTAACTAACTTATAAATATTATTTTTATTTTAATATATTTCAAAAAATAAAAAGTGATTCTAATACTTGAAAAATTGTGATAATCCATAATTATATAAAATTTAGTTTTAACGATTTTTAATTGAATAAAAAATTTCAATGAATTAAATATAATTTGTAGAATCAAATTTATCTATTTGTTTCTTCTTTAGAATTTTTACGTTAATTAAGGGTAGTTTTAATCTACTATAACATTTGCAGATTATAACAATGAAATGTTCTCAAACACGTCATGGAATCCCGATCAGATAATGAAAAAATAAAATTCTGGTTTTATTATTTGGTCCGGCGAATCCAGTATTTCGACACTTTTTGTTTTATCTTTCAATCGTGTGACTTTCAGCGTCTCGTACAATAAATTGTTGAGTAACGTTTGCATTCCTTAATAATTTCAAGTATTATTTGTTAGAAAAAATAATATAAATATCCTTGTCATAAATATTTATTTATATTTTAATCATAAAATTATTTGCAATAACTAATTTTAACTGTTTTTAAAAAATAATATATTAACACACTGTAAATTAGTTTTGGTCTATTGAAACTATTTTGTGATTCTGTAATTTCGACATAGATTTTAAAAAATTGTTCTACTCTGTATTGACTATTTAAATAGCCATGTTATTTATTAAGAATATTTTAGTGAACAATTGCAAATCACGTTTGAAAATATTTTTAAAAAATAGCGTCAATTATTAGAATAATAAAAATTCAATCTCTCTCATTCTACCTAAAGTACAAATCAGTTAATGAGTATTTGATAAGGTCAATGAATATTACATTGCACACGTGCAGAATATACCTTTTATCATTTTTAGTGATTCATTGATAATATACTATTCGTTTTTATATTTTTAAGGACAAATAAAAATAAATTGAAGGGCAAATCGATTAAATAAAAATATATAGTTTTCCATCTTTCGAACAATATAATCCGAAAAAGATCAATTTAAAATGCACAATGAGTATAGGTATCTGAACTTTTATAAATGCGATGACCTTGAGTAAGTATTAAGAATTTCCTAGTTTTTTTTTCTTATTATTTTATATTTAAACGAAATTCAGTGGATTGCACCTGGCAGTACGAATCCTGTCTTTTGCAAAGATTGATAAATATGTTTGTTGATAAACGAAATGGTATAAAATCCAGTTAGAATCAAGTTACAAACATTGTTTGATCAATAAAATATTTGTTTGTGAAAATATGCAACAGGTGCGTTATTCTTTCTGAAAGACAATCCTTCTGTGATTGATAATTAAAATTAATTATACTTAAGGTGAATTATATCAGAAATATTTAATTAATAATACTCATTGTAAAAGTCTTTTTAAATGGTTGTTAATATAAATTATAAGTTGTAATTCATAAAAATAATATTATATCTATGAATTAACTAACAGTGACTTTTATTGCTATACTTATGAATGACGACAATGATTCACTTAAACGAAACAGTAAAATCATAATAGATAAAGTAGATAAGTGTAGAAGTTATTTAAATAGACTTATTGAAGTTTCAATTTATATATTTATATTCTTATTCTAATATTATAAATTTATGATATATTACAGATGCACTTGATTCTTCTATTGATTTTACCGATTCTTCGGTCAACGGAAGTAATAGCAAGCGTCCTAGTTGCTGATAATACTATGTCGAAGATGGTAGAATTAAACTCCGGCGCACCTTTTTGCGAGTTGTATCACGACCGCGGAGTTATTCAAAAGATGATTCTTGGTGCGGACCCGAAGAAAGTTCGCCAAATGTCAAGTAATTTAGTTGCTGACCTCGAAGAAACTTGTAAAGAATCAAGGAAAAAGGGAAAAGTAAGATTTATGGTTGAAGGATATATCATAATAAAAAATCAAATTGAAAAACAATTGACCCTGAAATTTTCCACTATCTTGACGTTTGACACGCTCGAAAATTTTTGAGCTCTTCAACAATCTGAGAATTATTTCGAATCAATATTTTTTTGAGATTTTCAAACAGTAATATCTTTTGAACCCGGCATTCGATTTTAATTTGCTTGGCGGAATTCGACGCAATTTTTTTAACACAAAAATTTTTACAGAGATCTTCAGTCAATTGATTGAAGACTTTGAAAGATATTTTTAAATAACTGAAGAAAAAATTTTTTCTCCCCTCCGTGCGGAAAGCGTCGATTTTCTGCTCGCTGCGCTTAACGAAAATGCCGCTTTCCGCCTCCGTCGAGGAGAAAAATAGTATTCTCACCACGGGCAGGAAATAAGAAAGCCTCAGATCACATGTTTGTCGACCTCGGCTTCGCCTCGGTCAACA